CGGGTGAGAAAGGCCGGGAATCGCATTTTCACCCCACATTACGAAAAATCGGACACCCCCGGCGGTCTGTGCGACCTTAATGACTGACCGGCTCTAATAACGAAATACGTTTCAACGTATTTACGATCCGAGAAAGCTGCGACCATTCACCGGGACGAAACGAAAAAAATCAGGCGGCCAGTCTCTCGGTGCACGTATCGATATTACACGTGTGGTAGAACACCATGTTCGTTTATATCAATCGCCTCGAGAGTAAATATCAGATAATCGAAAACACCTTCGGACAATTTTTGGTAAAATTTCGTAGGACTTGTTGAATTACAATCAGCCAAAAGTCAAAAAATTTTCATGCATACTATATTACACAAATATACGTGGGTTAATTAAGAAGTATCTTTGTCTTTTCTCAACAGTAGATGGTCATACGCGAAATAATATAATTTATCAACAAAATAAAGAGGTTGGTATAATTTTTGGTTTCTATAGACGGGAAAATGTTTAAATGTTGCATTTATACAACGTTGATCGTTAACGAATGAATCTCAAGCAGAATTTTAGTTCAAACAGCAAGTAAAGTCCATGTAAATGGCGTTCTACTTTACATTCCTCGAAACTAAAGTACAGTGTCATCGATTTGTCTCTAATCACCGTGACTGACAGCCGTATAAACAAAACAGCCGCGTAATCCGCCGGTCATTACAACGGATTTACGTTGTTGGATAACGTTCATCGTTTTCGGTCGAGCCGCGTAATCGGATTTCGTTCCTGCGAAACGAGGAGAGCGTGGATCTTGTCCACGTGGAGTTCCGATCATTTTCATTTATAGGCTTCCTTTTTTCTCTTTTTTTTTTTTTTTTTTTTTTTTGTATCGACTGGCGAGGGGCGAGTCGGCCCTCAAAGGGCGGAGCATGGGGCTGCTGCACCCTCCTGGCACCCCAAGCTACAGGGGTGGACAGGCGGGAGAAAAGGGAGGTCGTCGCAGGGTGACCAAGGCGCACGCGTTAATTCCGACCACTTTTCAAAACGTCCAGCTGAGTTTCTTTTTTTTTTCCCTTCCTTCCTTCCTTATTTCCGTATTCTTTTCGTTCGTGATCACCTTGACACGCGTATTCCGAAGTATCGCACTGCATCGAAAGTTAGACAGATGTTGTTAATAACAAAGAACACAATTGTTATCTTTACGAAAAAGAACACGTACTATTACGCGTTCGTGAAATATGTACAAAATATCGAAAACAGAGAGTCTGTTACAATGTTCGGTAGATAAAGCAAATGTCTGTTGCGGTCGTAAGAAGATAAAAATGTATAAAAATCCGCAATCAAGAATGATGAGATCTTTAATGTATATATTCCACACACATGCGTCTCTGACTGTACGCACGATCTTTTGCTTTGGAAATTCGTCGAGGGAAAAAGAAAAACAGGAATAAAAAATCAATTTTCTTTCATCTGCATTTCTGATCATTTTCAAAGGACAAAGGAATTCTCGGAAAATCCGCAAAAAGGGAACATCGAACGCCCATCGATGCCGACTCGGCTCTCGAACGTCCTCCTTCTCCTCCCTTGCTGGTTTTCCTCTCTTTTTCTTTTTTTTTTTTTTTTTTCTCTCGTCTTTTTGTTACCCTGCCACGACACACGATACGACCCCAAACGCGTGCTTTCCCCGTGATTTCCGCTTTCCGCCTCAGCTGCGCCTCTCCTACCCTATTTATAGAGCCATTTTACGTATATAACCGAGGATCTTGAAAAGAACACGGAACTCGACGCGCGCGCCAAGGTGCCTGCCCCCCCGTCAGTAAATTTCCTCGGGGATTCCAGCGAAGACACGCGTCGCCTCAAAAAATCGCGCACCCAAACCTCCTTCCTCTACCCACTTATCGCCTGAGTCGAAACACCCTGGACGTCAACGAGGATTAACAGCTTCTCTAACATGGTTAACCAGACTTAAACGAGCAATATCGCGTCTAATGGAAAAATTCTTTCCCCTTCCTTTAGATTTAATTTGATCTTCGTGCAATTCATACTTTGCGAGAACGTAACAAGTAAATTTGCATTATCGCAGAGTCTCACGAAATCTGCAGTCAAGTCGACATAGAGTCGACATAAGGAACGCGCGTTAAAGACTGAAAACTTTTTCTCTGTAGAAATGGCACCAGCTGATAATTTCTAAACGTCGAATGACGCGGACGTGGAGAGATCTATTGGAAAAACATTTTCTCCATTTTTTCTCGATTTTTCTTTACGAGTTTTTGCAGATCACTGGGATGAAGAAGCGATGTGACGTTTAAATGGGAAGCAGTCGACAAAAGGTCCGAAATCGTGGCCATTGAGAATACGTTTTAATGTACTGTGCCACGGTGGAAAGTAGCGTGGAGCAACGGAGAAACGCGCATAAAAAAAGAGGAGGTTCCCCGGTGCAAATGAAATCCGCATCATTCCGGACCGGATCGATCGATCTGCAACGTCATCCCACGATTGTTGACTGTTGGCTGCGCGAACGCCGACATATGGACGATTCTTAACGAGCCGCACGTTTTTCCGGAAAATGGTATTGTAGAATACCGCTTCTGAAACATTGATCCAGCATTCACAGCTGCGTTCGAACGTAAATAAGAACGTAAAATAATGAACTACGTGGAATTGAGAGGAAAATTCGAACTGTGTCGACTTCTGACTCTCAATTGGAGATTTAGTAAATCACAGATTTAGTAAATGTCCAAGTCTTTATATGTCACATTTTTCGCGACAGAGATCAGCTAGCGAGATTGAATCAAATGAAAAACTCGAAATCCAAGTAACATGACTCGAAATAATAAACTGTCACGTTTCTCAATGGCTCAATGAAGGTTGAGAGTGAAACAGAGAAATCACTGTTGCAAACCTGTAATCGAGTATTTTGATAGGGGAGGATTTGAAAGGGTAAAATAGATTTCAACAGGGACGATTATAAAGCCCCTTCGGTGAATGGGTCACCTGTTGCTCGGAGGGATGTTTTAATTCTTTTTTTTCTTTTTTTTACGTACACATCGATCTCACATTACAACCTGCTTGCACAATGGGTATCAACCTGTTGAGAGAAGGGGAGTTTTTTTGCTTCTATTAGACGCGATACACCATAGGGGAACAGCGTCGAGTTTTTTCGATCGACAAAAAATCACCCTGCATCGGATCGCTCGAACACAAGTGCAATTAATACCTGTATCGTTCCTAATGTCAAAGCTCACACACACACACACACGCGCGCGCGCGCGCACACACACACACACACAAATCTAGGATTTGCACCTAGAATTCAGCGATTTATTTTTAGCGTAAAAATAACAATACTTTCCCCGTTTATGACTCCTCCACGTTTTTTTTTTTTTTTAAACAAAAAAGTTAATCCTAAAAATAAGCTTGAGAGTTGCAATTTACGTTGCGATAAATGCACCATCGGTCGCGCAGAGCCTTCCTCTTTGATGCTCAATGTTTTTGTTGTTAAATAAAAAAAAAATATACGGGGGATAATTTTTTCCGAATGTAACCCTTTACCGTTACGTTGCAAAAAACGCGTGCCTCCTCAATCTTGCTGATGCTTTTTCTTTCGACCAATGGCGAAGGTACACGGAGGATTATCCGTTCTTGCGTGGTACGGGCAAGCTTCTGAGGGCACTTAAAAAACTGTGGACGCCGACAATCCAAGGCCCTGAATACTTTCTATTGCTGAAAAGATGCGCGAAGAAAGGGTTGAAAAAGTCCAGGTATCCGGTCGCTAATCTTCGTCTAACCCACGCGGATGGTTTTTTTACCTCGACAATGGGACCGTTTCTTCTTCGCTCAACTCGATTTGCTACGGATTTAGCCTGCAAATGTGTTGGCGAGAGGAAAAAAGAACGTTTGGAACCGAAATTTTTGCGCGTGTTAGGCCATTTCGCTCTTTGCTTCGTCGGAAAGTTTGCGAGAAAAACTACAAGAATTTCTTCGCTCAAAGGAACCGTCTCTTAATGAAAAAAATATCCCATCTTTGAGGCATTTATGAGGCATCGTTTCCTCCATCGAGGATGTAATTCTCTTCAATCCATTTGCATCACAGCTTCATTCAGCTTGTATTTATATACGAGTGGTTTATCAAATCGTTCGCATGTTGTACCGATTAAAAATATTTACTATTCGAGTTCGCGATGCGAACGAGTTAATCGAAACGGGACGACGCTGTAGACGGTCGTTCGAACACAGCCACATCTTTGTCAAGTATCCGTGAGGGAACGAGTAAGCGAGGCATACGTAAATAGGATGAGGCATTTGGAATGATCGAACGCATTTGGAAGAATCCATAAAAATACTCGTGAAGCATGCAGGACGTCATGGGGTTCGTAGCCACCCTCGCGCAAACTGCCACCGTTCCTTCCCTCATCGGTGTACAATCCCACCCCTTGCCAAATCAGAAATCTGCCGCTTCCATCTCGTCCCGGCAGCGATGGCTGATGCTCCTCGCATCGTGGAAAAAGAACACATCGGCACGGGCATTACCGTTTTTCTCTCCCGTTTCTTCTCGTCGATCGATCATTTCGCTGGGCCGAGACGGCCACGATGACTAACAACAATGGCGAATCGGGAACGCAAGGACGGACACAGAGGAAAACGAGAGGAGGCTTGGGTGCCTCGCAATTTGCGTGGGACGACGGTAAATGGGACATACCTATCGAGACAGACTTCGTCTACGTGGGTTACATACATGCGTATAGATACTTCCATTAAATCACCGATCAAAATATAGGTACAGATTCCAATATCAATAATACGATTTCCTCGTATTTCGAGTATTTCAATGGGAAATGAACGTGTCCGTCGTTTAATAATATGGACAAAAAAATACGCAAAAATTAACAAATAATGAAATGAATTGAACTGGATATGAAGTGTAAATGTGTGCTCTACACGTATGTACATCTTACGATCTTAGGATTTAAACATGCGAGATTTAGATAAAGGTATCCGGGAGGACAGAAGAACTAGCATCGTTTGTCAGTAAGTAAACAATATATATTTTTCATTATCGTTATTGCTAAGGCACTTGTTACCATTATAAAAATGTATACGTCACAAATTATTGCCAATGAGCATATTTAAATACTGATATTAAACTAATTCCTTCTCATAGCATAATCTCAGATATTATAGATATGTCCGCCCAAGGAGGATTCTTGCTGATTTATTTTCATTTTTCTGTTTCTGTTATTCGACTGTTATTGACAAAACGCTTTTCACCCTCGTGAAGTAGCACGTATTTTATTTCTTTTTTTTTTTTTTGTTTTTTTTCCTCCACGTTAACTCAAAGGCACTTCTGCTGGAGGCCCCCCTACCTCCCTCCCCCCCCCCTCCTCCTTACCTCTCTGCCCGCCACTGAACGTAACAATTAAATGGAGTTTAAACTAAAAGCAAGATACGGTATGGTAATATTAATATTATCGTTAACTAGCAATAAAAATAATACATTATATCTATCTGACTTGACACGCCTGGAAGCTATCGCATCGAAAGTAACGCAACGTCAGTTTCACGATTCTCGTTAACGATGGTAACTTTCCTGGATCGCGCTCGAGAATGAGTATTTGTATGTAATACAAACTTCACGCTACGATCGAGCATAATATACCATTGAACAGAAAACATAGCAGACACTGATAATAGGAAAGAAGATTTTGTGCCTTTTGACAAGGTTAAGATTGTGTGTACAATCAAACATATAAACTTTCGACATCAACCTCACAAGCCACGAGCGTCTTCTTTTACAGGTTACAGTATCGCTACGTAGGAATTTCTGATATCTCAGTGCGACAAAGAATCGAGTGAAACGATGATATCGCGCCAGATATTTTAAACAATTGTACAAATTGTTATTAATTTAATTTTAATGCCGATAATATGAAGCGTCTACCATGTTTTATGTCTCTGCGCGTAATTACTATACAGCGATCGCTTTCCAAGTTTCAGTCAAATGATACAAATAGTAACACAAATATCGAATGAATATTACATAATCGTTTTATTACTTCATTAAAAAAGTAAAAAGAGGTCGAATACTCGCGCCAGTCGTACAACTACAGTTGTAACAATAAAAAGATGAAAACCAAGCGTGCGAACAACCATAGAAACAAAAATCTAACTCGCGTCTCCAGGACTTTTCCTTGCTGCGAGAAAAGACAGAGGAGAGCTTATAGCTTTTCTTTTCATCTTTTCTTCTCACGTTTTCTTTTTTCTTTCTTTTTTCTTAAATTTATCAGCTTACAAACTCATACTCAACAAACGACCGCTATTGGCAGACGTAACTATGACGATTCAATTCAAAAATGATTAAGAAGACAACGTTAACAACGTTAATTTCAGTTATTCTCGAGAAAAATAAAATCTCCTTTTTCGTGTACTTTCAACCGCAAAAAAGAAACAAAAGTAAAACATGAAATAAATCAGTCGGATAAAATTAACGTGATCGTTATCTCTGACGCAGAGCACTTATCAACGTTATCGCCGCATTATTTCAACAAAAGAAAGTTACGTCAATCTAGGCTTTTTTTTTCTTTTCTTCGTTCTTTTTTCCTTCTTTCTTCTTCATTCTTTCCTTCTTTTGTGACATGTGCATACTCTTCAGCTGCCATGTAATTAAATACAGATATACGCATGTTGTCTCCTCTTTACCGTGTCGCTTTGATTACTGCGTTGTTTCGCGAAAAAACGATTACAAGATCAACGGCCTCTTTTTTTTTTTTTTTTTCCTTCGACGTTCTACTCCCAAAAGCAACAAGAAGTAAGAACGCGAAAAATCCTTAAGACTAAAAATATTCAAAGATACTCTATAAATATCATATACTCTCGTTTTTGTAATCTCGATTATAACGTATGTATGTAGTATAAAATGTAAGAGAATTTTACAATCTAACAATGATTTGAGAATACCAATAACTGCAATTCGTAACAAGTATAGACTTTACATATAAAAAAAATATATATATATATATATCCATTTTATGTTCCCCTCTTCAAAATATTTAAAAGGGTCTAAAAATGTGTTTGCTTAGTTTAACAATTACCACATGTTCATATAAACATCTCGTATAGGCGGACGGTTATTGCTTGAAAAGACAACGATCAATATTGTCACTCTCTTCGATTGCAAAGAAAAGGCACTTCGTTTAAGCATATCGCTTGTAAAGTAGTCTGAACATTATCGGTACTCGATTGCAGTGTATATATATATGTGTGTGCGTATATAGATATATACGGGGTGCGAAAAAAATAGGTGGCCAAACTTTGGTACCTACTCTATTAAAATCGAAAAATGTCTACAACTTGGGAAAGAAGAATTTTCCGATGAATGTTTACTCGACCCTTTTTGTTCCTTAGACACGGTAGAACACAATACCAAAGTTTGACCATCTGTTTCTTTGACACCGTGCATATACTTTGGACGCACGATTCTGTTTCGAATCTGAATCATACACGTAACACGATTTGTTCCGTATGCCAACCTCAAAGTATAGACAAGTGTCCGTTTGTTAAAAATGCTTCGATACTTTTAGACGCCGTTGCTTCCATAAAGATCGTATAAAGATAACACCGCTACATAAATCGACAAATATCGATTTATCGAACATTATACCCTCATTTGTATATATTGATATAAAGATTTCATAATAATTGCACTTCGTTCTCGTTTCATTTCACGAGTTGACAAACTCCGTGAACACAGCAGGTATGGTGTTTCTTCTCTTGTTAAATTTAAATCACACGCGAGATCCATGATCGTAAAAAAATCTGATATGTCATGATATCAGATTTCTCTTGTAAACCAACATGGTATAAATATAATTAAACAACAAGTTACTTGTCTACTATTGGGAAATATCATCAAGCTTTCTTCGTTCATTGCGTTCTCCTTCATTGGCCCGAACGATACGAACATTAAATAATGTATTATCCATAATATTCAGTCCTCTTTCTCGCTCTCTGTCATACGATGCTTTAGTATAGGAATACAAACTTATATACAAAATGTTGGAGGCAAATGCACTCACACACGCATACAAACATACAAACATTCAAGTAATTCAAACAAATCAGTAAGAGAGAAAGAGAAAGAGCCGAATACACATTTTCATTAACATGCAAGATGCCCTAAAAATCTTCAAATATAACGTCAAAGATCGTATTCTCCATCCAACAATTCCAATTGTTCTACGCAACAGGTGGCAAAAGAAAAGTGATAAGAAAACTCGTTCCACGAGAAGCCTCAACGATAATTACGGCCTGCTCAACACTCTCAATTCCTCAGGAAGACTCAACAAGCCTGCCATAAACACTAGATTTTAAGGCTTCGAATTTCACACTATTCTTTACCACCTCTCATCCGTTCAACAAACATGACGCATAACAAGAAATTCGTGATATACAGCTCAATAAGAAGTGTACAATCTTTCGAATTATCGTTCATATTTCTAGGACATCCCGTAAATGTTTCTGTATGCACATTTCTTTATATACGTTGAGCATAGCGCGTTTTGCAATTCAGTTTCATTCGACTTAAACTTTAAAATTTTTCTCGTCCACGTGCGTTTCTATCTTTTTCTTTTTTTTGTTTTTTTTTTTTGTTTTTTTTATGGAATTATCGTTGCTTTACTGATAAGATCCTTTAGAATCGTTCCATTCAGTTTTGTATCGTATTGAAATTGCAATTTTTTTTTTTTTTTCCTTTTTAACGAATCGATTTCATAAATTGCTTGCCTGTCATAGACAATTCTTTCCTCCATATTACAGCCATGTCAGCACGTTTTCAGGTTTTGTCGTATTAGGGTTTATCAACGATTGCACGTCGTCCAATATGTCGCTGCTAAAATCTTCGCTCAGCTAAAAACGAAATTACAAACACGTGAATATACGAATATTCGCAACAACCCTTGCAACTACATTTATCACATTGAGAGATTTAACAAGTACCTGCAACGATGGAACAAGATCGTCGGTCGAATCGATGTTATCGCTCAGAGTGGAGAGATCTGGGGTCTCCATGGGTGCGCCACCATCTGCGAAAGAGAAAAGCTTTTAATTTTACCGTTACGAAACGGGTGCAAAGTTTATGGTAAACGAGTCGTTGTCTCTTCCTGCGTGAGACATCGCATACAAGAACACCTCTTACCGCTTGTACCGTCCATGTTATCGTCGATATTTGCAAGAAAATCTTCCGGCGTGTGAGGAAGAGAATAAGCAGAACCGAGTCCCAGACCGCTGTCCGCGCTTTCCTGACGCGCATGTTGCTCGTTGATCCCTGATAAAAATGGGTCCATGGCGGCGTCGGTGGTGCTCTGTCGAAGCATCAACTCTTGCTGCAAGACGTGAATGATCGCGCATTTATTATCGCACGGACAAGAGGCGATCAATCGAACACGAGCAAGCAACAGTTCTCACCTGACGTATAATTTCCTGTTGCCGTTGTTTCAGACGCTCGCGTTCCATCTGTAGCGACTGGAGACGAAGTTTCTGTTGACACGCCTGCAATGTTTGATTACTCTGAATACCACCGCCGGTGGGCTGTTGAAGCCAACTTTGTGGTAACATGGCACCTGAAGTCGGAGGCCTTTGCAGATGCGTGGCTGAAATGAGAAAAACAGCGCGGCTAGAACACCCGACGAAGTATGAAAATGAAAGACTCGAGACTCTTAAGAAGCGATCTTTGGCAACAACTTACGCGATAAGAAAAAAAAGAAAAAAAAGAGAGAGAAACTTACGGATTCTTGGATCGAACCACGAAGTGGTGCGTGTCTGATGATTAATAAAGTAGATTTCTCCTTCGGGAGTACGCGCTTGCTCCCATCCGTCAGGCAATGGACCTAGAGAATTAGTGGCGCCGGTCGTGGATTTCCCATTGTCGACGGCGGCAGCCGCGGCCGCCACGTTCGCCGCGGCCGCTGTTTTTCGTGGATCCTCCCATGTCGTGGTTCGCGTCAGGTGGCTGGAAAATAAAATTATAACACGTTCAGACGTCGTGCTATTTTGCACGTATAGCGTGGTGGCCCCGTGCAGAAACTGAATACGCCACAGCAACGTACAGTTATCCACATATAGTAGGCGCATTCTAAAAATAGTTCCATTCAAAAGACGACGCGAAGGAGTAACCAGCAGGCGCCTTGGCGGTAGTTAAACGCACGAGTTTCCAACAGCATCGAATAAAACGTGTGAATTTCAAGAAATTTCCCTCGACCATCGATTTGTATAATATTGTACCACGTCCACGTCACGATCTCGTCGTCAATAAGGAACGACAGATGAACGCGTCATTTAATTCGCAGAAACGATCAGTCTTCTTTTTATTTATCCGTCGCGTGGTAGGTGGCGGAATCGAAGAATTGAGAAAGAAAGACAGTGGCACGAAATACACGATAATTCGAACGTGCATCACGATCGTATTTTCAACGATCGTTTCGCGGAAAACAAAAGGCTGTATGTATATCGTGTTTCTTTCTGAACTACCCGTTTTGAGAAGTTACCGAAACACACGACCGATCTGTGACTGAACGATGCTACGTGGGTCCTTGAAATGGATAGCCGTGTCTTCGATCGTTCAACTAATTCCTTCGGCTGAATAGGATCGAGGATCGTGGTTAATTAAATCGCAAATCGTCGAGAGACAGCGGTAGCAGTGGCGGCGACGGTGATAGCTTAGGACACGAGGACGTGATCGGAGTCGTGATCGTTTTGTCCGAAACGGCTTTACTTGCACGAAAACACTACGTCGTCGTTCTCTCTCTCGCTCTCTCTCTCTCTTTTGGGTCGACAAAAATAGCTGCTAATGGCTGTGATTGCCGATCTCCGTCGTCTCTCCTCTACCTAACGTATTTACCTTACTCACGTGTCATTTTTCAACCGGGGAGGAAGTGGAAAATACTACACCGTGCACAACCACCGCTCCTATTTACCATCGTGAAACGAATACCTTTGCGAACCGGCTACCATACCCGACTCCAAAGAAATTTTAGACAACGGGCGAACATGCGGCGCGCTTAAACACGACACCGATGGTTCGAGCTCCGAAAATTTTCCAACCGGGCCAATACGGACGTGTGTCGTGTCGCGCGAATGTCCAATCCCCGATCGATCCGCTCCTGTGACAGGTGAGCAAATTTCATCGGTGCAGTAGAAAGAGGTAAAACTGTCGAAACGGGAGCACGTTCTTATAATTCGAATAATTCGTCATGAGTTTCGAATCACCGATTCGCAGAGATATCGGATCGCTCGACATTTTGCCAAAAGTGTCGTTCCGTGGACGATGACTTAACGAGTCTTAAGTCATCGGGCGAGGGGGGGGCAGCAAACAAGTTGTCTAAATCCGCATCGGGACATGATATTTATCGTGTGTGCGTTACGTTGCGGTTCGCAGTATTTCCCGGCGAGAAACAAATCTCTTTACATACGGGTTAATAATACCCGTGGAACGGAACGCGTTTGACGTAGATTTTAACATTAAGAGCATTATCCAATCGGGATATATCTGATCGGGCGTGTTAAGCCGCGCCGTCGTTTCCCCCGAGATCCGTCGCCGTGCAGCTGCGGATCTCGAAAAGAATACGAGCAAAACACGGCGGCCTCTGGTCAATTCCTTCGACGCGATCTTCGGATAACAACGGGCGCGCGTGTGCGATCGAACCGCGAGACTTTCAAGTTCCCGCCTCGAGCTAGACAACAGAAAGAGTTGCCATCTCTCCAATTGCCCCGTGACTTTTCTCGAACATGACCCCTATCTCGTGGTCCAAAGAAATCTCCCCCCCCCTCCCCCCTCCCCCGTTGAAAATAACAGGAAAATCATATGGCTCTAATTATAGAGTAAGAAAGAGAGAGAGAGAGAATATTGAAAATCTATCGCCGAGAGGTGTGATCGGTGGCATAGCAAAATACAGAACGGCGGCGTGTTCCAAAAGCTACATGTCGCGGGTCTCTCCGGGAGCAGTTGGATGCGTTCCAAGAGAACCTGAGGTAGAGAGACAGAGAAAAGCGAGCGAACAACAACGAGAGAGAGAGAGAGAGAGAGAGAGAGAGGGAGAGAGGGAGGGAGAGACAGAGAGAGCTAGGTGACCGAGAGGCAAGAGTAGAGAAAGGAAAGAAGCGAGAAGAGGAAAAGAGGGAGAAGTAAGCAAGCAGACAAGCAAGCAAGCAAGCAAGCAAGGAAGCAAGCAAGCAAGCAAGCAAGCAAGCAAGCAAGCAAGCAAGCAAGCAAGCAAGCNAAGGAAGCAAGCAAGCAAGCAGGCAAGCTAGTAGGCGAACAGGCAACCAGGGAGCCGAGCAGGCAGCTCGAGAGCATTGGAGAATTACAAGAGGGTTTCTGTGTGGCGTACAGCATACGGACTACGATGTATTTTTACTCCGGACATCACGGCGCCGGACAACTCGTAAATAGACACTCTCGCACCGAGGCTCTCTTTCGCTTGCTTGCTCTTCTCTCCCGTCGTCGTCGTCGTCGTCGTCGTCGTCGTCGTCCTCGTCGTCGTCCTCGTCGTCGTCCTCGTCGTCGTCGTTGTTGTCGTTGTTGTCGTCCTCGTCTTCGCGTTCGTAGTCGTCGTCGTACGATTCTCATTGCATCCTTTCAGTACTCTCTTCCTAACCATCTATCTCGAGAAACTAACAACAACAAGACTATGATCGATTTATCCGAAAAGATCGACTGTTTTAATGGCTTGACAAGAACAAAACCTCTCGGCGTAAATAATGCTGTGAAGTATTCCTCCTCGTCGCAGCGTTTCGAAAATTGAAGCGACCTCTTTGTTTCGGAGTTGAGCGTACGAAACGTCAATAACGAGCATCGAACGCTCGATGCGAGACAGCGCGAGAAAGCAAAGGCCTCTTTGAATGAACGGAACCTACGAGTTCAGACACAACACCGGGCGGTGTACCAATTGAGGATCTTCGCTTCGGGAGTATATAAATTGTAGTTACAGAAGCACATACGCAGCGAATGAAACACCGGCCGCATCCAGCAAAAATACAAAAACCTACAGATATGAAACGACACGATCACGTGTATAAACAAAAAAATCTGCAAACATCGCAGTGATTAGCAGTAACGTAGAAACACTGTAACAGTTTTCTAATTGATGTGTCGTAAAATTCCCGCAACCGCTCGGATCGGCCGAAGCGATAAGTTATTCAATCGGCTGACAAAACATCGTAAATCGGCCGGAGAAACAAAATGACGAAGGGGAACAGAGAGCAGAAAGTTGGTGTTGTGTTGGTCGGTTGGACGGTTTAATAGTCGGATGGTTTAATGGCGATGCGGCGAAGGAAGCGGCGAGAGCGAATCTCGGCTCGGAGGACGTTCGATTCGCCTTGAACTTTCGATACATTCGTGGTATTCCCCGGAGATTTGTCCTCCTATCTGGCGTTCGCGTTCGCGCAACGCGAGAGACTCTCTCGTCCACGGTCTACAGGTGTGTCTACGGGGTCTTTAGCCTGGCCGTAGTGGCCGAGTAAAAACCTCCGCGGCGATCCTTACGCGAACGTCTCGGGCGTTATAACGCCGTTTGCGGAAAAGAGCACGACCTACTCCCCGTTCGGTGGAAAACATCGATTGCTATATAACCAACGTGCGCATAATATGACCGATGGAACTGCAACGCGTGGTGCGCGCTCGCTCGCGCGCGCGCGCGCGCGCACACACGCATACACGCGAGCGCGCGTTTGTAATACAAATAGATCGAACGTGACGCGCGCGTAAAATAAAGTCTGCCGTGTGTCGTTTATCTCGCGTTTTTAGCTCTCCTCGCGTCACGAATGTTATTTATCGTTCTGTTACCTTTCGCTTATCGAGAGGAACGTCTTTCGAGAGACACGGGCAGCAGGCACACCAAATGAGAAACGGATTATTCTCATTCGACACGCCACGGAAATGTGGCCGTTTCACGAGCAATCAGCACATAGTTGCCACTTGAATTTCTCGAATAGTTCTCCTCTCCGTGTGTTTCTTTCTCCTCTGCCTTTTTTCACTCTGCCTTCTCCTTTTTATCTTTACTGTCTTTTTTCTTTTCTTTTCCAGATAAAAGCTTGAAACACACGGGACCGACCGAGAGAGATAAAACATCGGGCACGACCGAAAGGAAAAAAACCGGTGGAAAACGCGTGTCCGTGTTGTCCGAACTGACCCTGAACACAACAGGATGCCGATGTCGCGCGCACGCGCGCAACTTTCACTACATTCGAAAATGCATAACTAAACGTCCTCGAAATGAATTTACGAGTAAAACGGCACGGAATACGTCGGTTCTCGTATTGCCGGTCGATTCCAACGAGCGGCCTCGCGGTTGTTATCGACGAGTTCGCAAGAGATTCCACAGGTTCGCACGAGGAAGTAGCCGCGAATCAATTGCCATTAGCATCATCAACTCAAGCCGCGCGATTACACCTCGCGTGTAACAGTATTTTCGATTCCTCGACCATTTCGAGCGCGGGCGTAGCTTATTACTCGCCCGATCGCCAGCAGCCTGGAATAGAAATATCGGCGTAGAAAAAAATGGGCATCGTGCGAGAGCCGAGCGACGAACGTGGGCTTTTCTGACGCGTAATACCCACTTTCGAAGCGATCTCTTTGTTCGCGCTACGCCCGATAGCGTAACCTTATTGGTAGGACGCGCATGTCCCAGACATTTTTGCGAAATTTCAGGAATACGTAAAACTCGGAGCAGAGCTATCGTTATCAGTTGGCAGAGATGAAACGAGATTCTATTCAGGCTCTACTTCCTTGAACTATAGAACTTCGAAAAAAAATACAAGATTACGCAACCGTTCCACCTTGTGGCTCGATTTTTCAAACTCTCCAGGAACTTTACTCGAAAAGTCAGCCCGCCAAAAATAAATCTGAAGAGAAACGAACGAACGAACGAACGAACGAACGAACGAACTCGAGTGAAGGAGTGGCCACAGCATTGTTGGTGAAACGAGCACGACAAACGAGATCCGTTTGGAGCAAACAAGAGGCCGAAGAGGGCCGTTTAGATTCCACGGATAAAACGTGATTCTACTCTCTGGTGACTAATGTTTCGTCAAATTGTACAGTTGACGGAAAACCTTGGACGCCTGGCTCGTCTCGTGTCTCGTGCGTTTACCTGGCGGCGAAACGTGGTTCTCGTAGCTGGCAACAGATCTCTTGTTCGAGGTAGTAGTGCGCGTCGATGAAACGCGAAGAGAAAAACAGAAAAAAAGAAAAGGAACGAAGAATGATCCCTCCCCGCTGGTTCGTGTTTAGTTTCGTTTCGTTTCGTTTCGACAGAACACCGTTGCTCCTCCTCGCTGGTATGTAATACGCGAACCTAGCTAACGGGATCGACGTATAACATTATACGAGGCGAGGCGGTAACAACGCGCGTGCTGCGCGTCGATCGCGCGGTAAACGAAAAATCCAAAAAAAGATCCCGACGAACGCTTCTACGATATTATATTGGTCGAATCGCGTGAAATTTCGCGTTCACAGGGGAACTCGGCTGTGATACCAGCGTCGTCGCTTTTTTTCTCGTTATTTTCTCTTGGCGCAATATAGAACACGCGGAGGATAAGGCGACGACGGAGAAAGGGGGGGAACGAGGCGAAACACTTCCTAGAAGGATTCAAAGAATCAGTTTGTTCGCGACTCGAATCGCACGTTTCAATTACGCAAATTAGATTCTAATAAGTCCCGCTTCTGGATAAGATCCAAAAAGCTCGGCGAGAGACGGGCCAGAGGTAATTGGACGAACGCGGCTGAGAAGAGAGAAGAGGGAATAAGAGAGAAGACACGGGTGCCGTCACGGCAGTCATTACTGCATAATACAACAACCGTGCGGCTGTTGGTTGGCTGCACTTCTTTTACCATCGGCCATTACCACCGAGCGACTCTACTCGCGGCCGCTCTGTTACGTCTCGTCTATCGACAACAGAGAGAATGCCATTGCTTTTTCTCGTTTCACGGACGATAATTCATAGTACCACTGGCGCACGGCAATTATTACTACACCCTACTGAACGATTAGACGATATATATATATATATATATGTATTTAACGTTGGATCGAACGCAGTTGGAATATACCATAAACCGATCAGAGAGAGAGAGAGAGAGAGAGAGGGAGGGAGAGAAGCGCGAGCCGAGAAACGCGATTAACCATCGTCGATACAAGGCTGCTCTCAAGCAAACGTAATTACGAGCGCCAAGCCGCTCCTTTCTTTTCTTTACCTTTTCCATATCCCTGCTTCCTGCATTGCAAATGATCGCGTTACCGATACCTACCACCGATTGACAAAAGGTTTTCCCTTTCGCAGAAACGGAAACAAACAGTTTCTCGCAGGAGATGCGTTTTAAAAAACAATGTTTCAAAGATTCACGCGCGAGTCTTTTCTTTAAAAACGTATTCGTGGTTAAAGTTGGGAAGGGAATCCTTTTAGAAACGTACGGAACGAACGGCGTTACGAACGTTAAAGAAGTTACGGTTAAAAAAGATAGACGGGAGAGATTGTCTAATTACGTTTTTACGTAACATTTCGATGGGACTCGCTGGCTCGCGAGCAATTATTAAGGACGATACATACCAGGAACGATTAAATAACGATTAACGAGAAAGGCCAGAACAGTCGTAAAATACGCATAAACGAGAAACGTTTTATCGAAAAATCGGCCGATTACGGTGACGATACCTATCGACGAGTTCTACAACTTTCACGATGCTATCTCGAGCAAAGGCACGATGTCCATTCGAGTTTCACACGTCGAAATCGCAGAACGTAAATGAAAACGATTTCCCTGAAAGAGATCTTAAGGGGAACGACGACGTCGATCCTGATTATACAGCTTTCGAGCTTGTCGGGTATGATTTACAGGGTATCATTTACAGTACACCTGGAAATTTTCATTTAGTTGAGTAAGGCACTGGCGTTTATTGTCTCAGTGAAATAAAAATGAAAGTCGAAGAAAATCCGGAGAGGGACGGAAGGAGAGAAGGGAACGGGTATCTGGTGGAGAAAAAAATGAAAAGGGACATGAATGAAAAATTCTCACGAACGGTGAATTGCAAATTCTCAGTATTCCGAAAACCTAGCCTAACGAGCATTCATTCTCACGAACTTTTAGCGGCAGGTAGAATTCGCAGGTAAAACAGGAATAGACGAGACACGTATAGTAAGTTCAGGTAAAAACTTTCTGAAAGAAAACGCACAGAGGACTTCTCGGAGTTCTTTTCCACCTTCTCTGTAAATCTCTCCCGTTCCTCCCGTTCGCAGAGAAGAAAAGGAGAGAAGAAAAAGACGAGACGGAGGAGAGCGAGATGACAATACTTGGAAACGAGGCGAAGAACAATACCGACTAAAGCGAATGAAAGCCCTTTCAGAGAGGCGAACGGTTGAAAGGAAGACATTGATGAATATTTACAAAAGCACACAGGTACAACTGAATGAACGAGAATCCCCTCGGCAGCAAGTATAATCGTTATCGACGAGCAGAAGCAAAGCGTATCGATTATCGCGGGGATATCTCTACGTGACATCAGCCACTCGATCAACGAAATCGTAATCAGGCGTGGACGAAGCAAACAAGAAAGAAAGTGTAACACGGTCGCGATCGATCGATGCCGAGGAAAACATGTAAACTCAAAGAAACTGAACGCGGCGATACTATACGGCGAACCTATATAGATATAATGCTTTAAATTTTTGTTACCACATCGAAAATCATTTTCCTCGCGGGGAAGATATTTCTCTATAAAGAGAACGAGCCAAACTTGGCTAGATGTACGATCTCTGAAAACTGTCTTCGTCACGAAAATCGTGGAAGATTGAGAATTGAACGCGAAGACTCGAGAAAATGAAAAAAAGACGTGAAAAGTGGGTGGAAGGAAGCGCACGGAGGAGGCGACAAAGCAGGCGAAGAACGTTTCCCACGACAGGTGACACGTGGGAATCTTAGCGACAGCGCAGGTGGATCAGGTTAAACGAGTGAGACGGAAAAGAGAAGGAGAAGGGGACTGGCAGAGATATCGAGTAGGCGGCTCGAGGGATTGACAAAGAAAACCGAGCTAAGAAAAAGACGAGACGACGGGATCAACGGCGGGGACAAGAAGGATACACGAACGGTCGGCAGTGGGGAGAGCCGAGAAATGGAGGAACGAAGAACAACGATGAGTAATCCGAGGTGGTGATAAAGACAGTAACGGCCTTGAGGTATGTGAGGGACCGCAACACACGACGAAAATGCGAACCAACCAACCAACCAACCAACCAACCAGCAGCAGTCGCGTACAACGGTGAACTGTTCCTATTCGGAGTAGGATTGTTTATTCAATGGTCACAGATAGGATCCACTTGGAGATGAGTCAATGATGTTGTGAAATGACTAAGAAAACGTCAGATCGATGTCGTCTGCTCTCATCCTTTTTCGTGTCTTCTGACTCGTCGTAAGGGGATCGGGCAAGCGTGAAACTAGCGTTTACCGAGAAAACCATAGAAGCTTCTCGTTCTTCATGAACGAGAGTTCTCTGTCGATAGATAACTAGTCAGGTTCCGTGCAATCATCTTGGAAAATTTTTCAGAAACCTGCGTGATTCGATCGATTAGTAATGAGAAAATACCCCCGGCCGGGTATAATGAATAGGAAGACGAATGTTGCGGGAATTAAGAAGAGAGGAAAGAGAAATTAGAGCAAAGTTCGAAAAGCGAACAAAAAAAGAAAAAAAAAGGAAAAAAGGGAGAAAGTGGACTCACTTGAGGAAGTAGATTTGTCCCTCGGGGGTGCGCGCCTGTTCCCATCCATGCGGCAGAGGACCTAGGTCGTCGACCGTACTGATGACGTCGTAACTGCGTTGCTTCTGGTGATGATGATGACGCGCGTGCGGCTGAGGCGCGTGCTGAGGCGCCTGCTGAGCCGAGGCGTAGGTTTGCTGAAGAGATGCCGGGCTGCTGTGGGCGCGAGGATGAGCAACGGTGAGGCTGGCAACGGCCGCGGCCGCGACTGCAGCCGCGGCCGCACCTGCAGCGTTCGATCCGGTACCAGTGGTGTTTCCACTTCCACCAGTAGCCGCACCTGCTGCTCCGGTAGCCGGTGTACCGGTCGCGTTACCACCGGGTGTTGGCCCGGCACCACCGACCGCCACCGCCGCGACCGCTGTACCGAACGCCGAATCTGCCGAATTCTCCCGGGAATGCGAAATCGAGGGACTCTTGCTACCAGTCGACGGTGGATTAAAGAAGGAATCTGGTAGATTGCGCATGCGCAGTGGCACTTGCAGCGGACGCTTCGAGTCTGGCTTCAGGACGCTGTCGAACAGCGCTTGTAGATCCGATTCTGAATTCTGATCGATTCTTACTACCAGATTACTCTTCGACAACTGGTCCACGTCCTGGTTCAGCGCCATTTTGGATCACGCACTCTACGCGCCTCGGCTGTGTCTTCTCTCTCTCTCTCTCTCTCTCTCTCTCTCTCTCTCTCTCTCTCTCTCTCTCTCTCTCTTTCTCTCTCTCTCTTTCTCTTTCCTCGTATCCTGTACACTCTGCTGCTACCTTTCGTTCTTCTTTGGTTTCCTCTCTCTCTCTTTCTTATACTCTTCTTTCCTCCTTTCCGTCTTCTCGCCTATCCTATCTGTTTCCTGTCCTTTTCTTTCGTCACCGTCGTTCCAAATCTTCTTCCCACCTCTGTCCCTCTCCGTTTATGCTACGCTTGCTCTTCTATGATACACCTATGGGCATTCGTACACAGTGCACCACCAGTCTCTTCTCTATTTGACCTGTACACCACACAGGCTCGCTCTCTTCCGTCACTCCTCGATCCCTCAACAACGCGATAGCCTCTTCTCTTTTCCACCTGCGCGTTTCGCGAGAAACAACAAAACAAGCAGGACAATGCCGCCGCCGCCGCCACCGCCACCGCCGCCGCCGTCGTCGTCGCCGTTGTTGTCGTCGTCGTCGTCGTCGTCGTCGTCGCTGCCGCTTTCGTATTAACTATCACAAGGTCCCCTTGTAATACTACCTTTGACAGTACCCTCAAGTTCCTCGATGAGTAATGTCTCCTCTACCTCTTACCATGGAATCGCGCACCAGGAGAAATCGACTCGTTTTGCTAGCCGGCCGTCTAGCAAACGAGTGCTAACGTTCACCGTGCGTGGACACGCGATTACGTACAAGGAGTAGAAACTCCGATGTATTCAACTGATGCTCCACTTTCCGCGCTATCTGCTGTCGGACACTCCTACTATGTTATATCCGCGGTATTTTCAAAATTTTAGCACATATCACCGATCAAATAACTTTCCCATCACTGAAACAACTTTCCAATTACGAAAATAAAGTCACTTTTGAACGAGAATGATACTATTTCGTTATTATGTTTTAGTCAATTCGACGAACGTAATTATAAAAGAATCGAAAAACTTACACGTTTTTCCTTGCTGTCTTCGATAGCTTTTTTAAATGAATATACTCTTGAAGCCTTTATTAATCGATTCTCTTACATTAAGATTTCAAAAGTTTGACAAAACAGAAAAAGGTTACACAAAAATAAGAAAAGTTTAATTTATGCCATTTGTATTCTTGCACTGTGAGATACATACTATTTTCCCTTTTTATTTCACTTAAATGTCAAGTTTAAGTTACCCGAACGTTGATAGCGGCAAAAATAAAAAACAACACAGCATATTTACAAAACCACTTTCTCTCGTTTATCGTTTGAATGATACTATAGTCTCATACTTGAATTATAATTTACAAAATTGAGAAAACTGCATGTACGTCGTGTAGTTTTGTAGCCAACTGATTGGTCAGCGCTTATTTGAGTCTTATTTTTTAAATATAATTTACATTGACGGCTTCCTTCATTGAAAATGAAATAATTCATTCATTCAAAATAAAAATTGTATCTTTATCTCTATTTCTACTTGTTCCTTCGTCGCTTGTTAAATAAGATGAATATAATCAACTCTCCTAAATTCAGAAACATTTCAGTTAGCTCTGCTATCTAGAAGACTGGATAGTCGATGGTTTCGATATTTCGGTTGTATGGTTACTTTAATTTATTGACAAAAATGTAACACTTCTATTTTAAATTGACTATGTTTTTACAACCGGAATGATATCTGTTTTATCCATATTAAGTTATTTGTGTAAATATTGAAGGTGTTTTTATTCAAGTAGGAACTCAAATTGACACAATAAGTGAAAATGTCTTCGAAGAGGTATTTAATTGTTTTTCCTTCGTGTTTTTAAACTTGCAGAACTTTACGAACTTGTAGATGGAAGTTATTTGTAGCCAGAAGGAGTCTCCTTTCGATCTGTAGCTTGTTTCGCTTGTTACATGAAACAATTGTACAGTATCGATTCTTTATTTCTTTGTTAACCTGCATTATCAATTTATTCATATTATTTATTATATCTAAAATTAGTTTATCTTTTGTGAATAATTTTGAAAAATATTGGTCTTACGAGTCTTTTGATTTGTTTCGAAATCGTTAAATCTATTTATCTAATACACTTATAGTTCAATTTTAATAGAAATAATAATACATCTATATGTAACACATCATCTATGTTACATATGTACATAGTGAGAATAAAAAAAAGTACATCCGAGTATTTTTATTGTTTTACATATCATGTGTCACAAATATCATTTATCTTACTGATTAGATATTAACATTTTTTTAGTGAATTAAAAAAGTTGTCTGAAGAAAGTTTAACTAGACAACCTGAAGAAGTATTTGATATAATATGCAAGTTAGGAGAAGGGTAAGTAAATAAAGATATAAAATGGCATTTAAAATCATTTTATTTCAATTGTTTTAATATCTTTCATTTTCATGTAGATCTTATGGATCAGTTTACAAAGCACTACATAAAGAAAGTGGACAAGTACTTGCTATTAAACAAGTACCTGTTGATACAGATTTACAAGAAATCATAAAAGAAATTTCTATCATGCAACAGTGTGATTCTCCGTATGTTGTTAAATATTATGGAAGTTACTTTAAAAACACTGATTTATGGGTAACTTCAAATATTAATAACGTAACAAACTATATTTTTTTATCTCTCTTATGTATGTAATCACAATGTGATTTCATAGATTGTAATGGAATATTGTGGAGCTGGATCTGTTAGTGATATCATGAGGTTAAGAAAGAAAACCCTTCAAGAAGATGAAATAGCAACGATTCTCAGTGATACCTTAAAAGGTTTAGAATACCTTCATTTAAGAAGGAAAATACATAGAGACATTAAAGCAGGAAATATTTTACTCAATAATGAAGGACATGCGAAATTAGCTGATTTTGGAGTAGCAGGACAATTAACTGTAAGCTATGAGATATAATTTTTATGTATATATATATATATTATGTATATATATTAATTTTAAAAAATATTTTCTAGGATACAATGGCAAAACGTAATACAGTTATAGGAACTCCATTTTGGATGGCTCCAGAAGTTATACAGGAAATTGGATATGACTGTGTCGCAGACATATGGTCTCTTGGTATAACTGCTTTAGAAATGGCAGAAGGCAAACCACCATATGGTGACATACATCCAATGAGAGCAATATTTATGATTCCAACTAAACCACCACCTAGCTTTAGAGAACCTGATCAGTGGAGTCCTGAATTTATAGATTTTGTCAGTGGGTGCCTTGTTAAAAATCCAGAAGAAAGAGCTACAGCAACTGAGTTGCTAAATCACGAATTTATAGGTAATATTTATGATAGTGAAACAAACTCATTTTGTTTTTTTACATGTATTATTCAACATGATATTTTATTACAGGTAATGCAAAGCAACCAAGTATTCTAAGTCAAATGATTGCGGAGGCTCATGAAATACGGGAAAAACAAAGCGTACATCGTGCTCATGTTATAAATAATGTGGCAATTAAAAATCAAAATCAAACAGAAGATTCGGTATTTATTTATGGGATTTATTATATGTGCGTATGTTCATGTGCTAACATTCATAGTAAATATTTGATGTTATAATTATAAGGACGAAGAAGATTGTAGTGGAACAATGAAACCTCTGCCAGAAGACACGGGAACTTTAGTACCGAGTCATGATCTTCCAGATACAGGTACACTTGTTTCAGCAATGTTAGACTTGGGAACAATGGTTATTAATAGTGACACCGATACCGAAGCTACTATGAAACGTAAGCACATAATATAACGAAACACGACAAGACATTAACAAAGAAAACAGGGTAATAAATGTCATTTATTTATAGGACACAATACAGGATCAGTGGAATCCGGAAAAAAATATCGGCCACTATTTTTAGATCATTTCGACAAGAAGGAAGCACCTGAAATAGGAAAGGTATAAGATAATAAGTATATCATACTATGTATATCATATTATATATAATACGTATATGCATAAAATTAATTCCTTAATCATTAGGGAAATGGACAAATTCTTGGAGTACACAATCAAGATAATGAAAATAAATTAGAATTACGAAGCCCTACAGAATCTCAGAGGTTTCAAAGTCATCTACAATTACAACTTAACCAGATTTCTCATCCTGTACAAGAACAACCTCATAATAACATATCCAAGTTCCAAAATGTTTTTACAGAACGTGATTTCGATTTCGTAAGTAATAATACACTTGCAAATTCTTACAGGAGATTAAAAGTTAGATTAAGGACTATTCTAGTACTTTCTTAGTACTTAAGTTCGATCGATATAGTGCCAATTTAGGCATCATTAAAAAGAACTTGAATATAGATAAACAACCATATCCTGCAGCTGAAGTTTCTCTCATACGAGGAACTACAGCAACGAATGGCTAATCTGGATGCAGAAATGGAAAGAGAAATTGATGAGTTGAGAAGAAGGTACCAAACGAAGAGACAACCGATTCTTGATGCCATGGATACGAAGCGAAAACGTCAGCAAAACTTCTAACAGTTTGGTTACTTTTTTTTATGCAAATAAGTGTGATGATGATAGATAAAGGGTGTACAGTTGTATAAATGAATAGATTTTATTCATCTCGTTCTTAGTTTCATCAAAGAGAAGAACATTGTTTACTGGCTAAATGTCTACCTGAAAAAAATAAGTAATAACAATTAAAAGTATTTTCTTCTGAAACAATGTTTTATCTCTTTTGGAATCAAGTACGAGTAATACTAGCCAATAGCCTCACGTCACCAATGTAAATTATTATACATGATTTAGGTGAACAAGTAATCATACTTAATTTTTTGTCATTATGTTTATCTATGTACTGTTATGCTATTATTATAGAAATATTATAAAATCGCTTTAATATTTTTTTTTAAATTAAAACTCACAGATTGATAATATAAATGAGAATAATTATACCATGTTCGCAATTTTATTTTTGGTGTAAAAAGAAATTGTGAAATTGATATTTGATTTTCATCTTATGCTAGTCACGTATTATGCCATTTATTTTACTAATAATATTACATTATTAATATCATCACTCACACGAAACTTACGCATGGAAGTTAGTCCGAAAATATATTTGTATAAGCTTATACGCTATTGTGTCGTTTACTTATGAAACAATTTCAAACAAATGATTGAACTTAGAACATATTGAAAAATTTTTTCCTTTACTGCCATAGATATGTTGAACGTTTATCTATTGATATAATTAAGTTACAAAATACCCAATTTTAAAGTTTCATGAATACAAATCAGAAATCTTTTAATAATATTATTGCACCATGCAAAATTACTTTGAGAGTGATAATATTTCAATGTGAAATACTTGACAAATTAACTTACTAAAATTAGTCTTCCGTATTAGAACGTATTTTGATATTTCAATTTGTTAAGTCAGTATTTAAATTGTTGAGATAATAGTCATAAAGTAATGGCAAGAGTCGTAATATTTTTTAGACCTATATAATATAAATTATAATATAATTTTTATTATAGTAAAACACATTTTTTATTATCATATTTGAAATCTTCAAATAAATTATCATTATTTTTTGTATTGATAAAGATTTCAATACACATTTTATACGTAACGCATGTTGAATGCACTCGTTATAAACATTATGACATAGTGGCATAATTTTTTGCTGACGTTGGGCTATTTTACAAGTAGCGGAAATAGATTTATAATACTTAAATACTATAGCCAGAACTGACTTTTTTGTTTATTTAGGAAGTAACAATACAGAATAACAACATATTTTTGATATAGAAGATATGCACATTATGGTCAGAAAAGATTTAAATATTAATTATTAAATCTAGTCTTTATATGGCCCTACCATGACACAAAAGATTATTAAAACAATAGTACTGAGTTTATTATTGAAACAATAGTATTTTCAATAAGAAAATCGGATAAGTTATATTCTTCAAAAAAAGTATTACTGTTCGAGAAAAAAATAGAGCGCACCAATCACTGCGACATACAATATATAAACGTGTTGCAATATTCTAACAGAAACAAATAAATTTTACTCATACAGAATTACACATTTGATAGAATATAAATACGTTTGTAGTAACAAATTTTCTATGTTCATCTTCCACGTGTATTATAAAATGAAAAAAAAAAAATCATGCGGAAGTAATATTGTAAAAAATAGTTATGCATTTCCATATATTTACCTATTATCTAACATTTAAAAAACGCGATAAAAATTTTTTTCTATAAAAACTTAAATAGTCCATGAAATAGAGATCTATGATATTTATGAATATACAATAATATACACATGTAGAAGTCTATTTCATAGGACAATAGCGAATCTGTTTACTTTTCATGTTAGAAAATGCTATCCTTTTATATTACAGTTTATAATTATTTGTTTACGAAGTCGTTCTAATTTTACGTTTTTCTTATGAATTGTACCATTCTCTATATGTTTGGGCAAAATATACAGACTGAAGGCAGAAAATTGTCTTTCGAACAAGCAATTACCTATCTAGTTAGTATTATAATCTCATTATACAGCGTAACCTATGAATTACTCTTGTTTAGTATTAAAGTAACATATTATATTAATTTTCATTTAAAACGAAGTAAAATGAAATACATCTGTTAATATGACACTGCCTTTTACATATTTGATTTGAACAATAATAAAGTATTATAAATACTACAATTTATTTTAGTTTTGTTTATCTATTTCACGAAATATTTGCATTAATTCTCAAATTTTTTTTATTATCAACAATATATTTATATATCGTACAATTGTTACAAGTTTTGATATCTAAGTTTGATATTTTACATTATTTGAAAATTAAAAATAAAAATAGCAAAAATATGAGTTAAATATTAATTTAAAAAATTTAAAACATTTCTGATATATTTCCATCTTATAGTTCCAGTATATTTATAAGTCATCATCACCGATCATACGAAATGCATTATTTTCCATATCGTATTCCATTGTTTGTTTTCCTTGAACCTTGCCCCTTGTATTACTTTTAACATCATTAGATTTTTTTACTTTTACTACTGAGAATCTGTCCGCAAGTTTCTTCATAATTGGTTCAGATTTAGAAGGTTGTGTAATACAACGATTCTGAAATAAAACCCAACATTATAAATAAATAAAATATAAATATTATTAAATTATCACCTTTTTACTTTCTTCAGATTCCTCATTTGAGCTTGACCCTATTATAATACTTTGGCCATTTCTCATGACATAGGTCCAGGATTTTTGAGGTATCTCCTATGAACAAGATATCTAATGTTTAGCAAAAACAATTTTACTTAGTAAATAAAATAACTTAGTAATTAATAATATTTTTTATTAACCTGAGTCTTATTACTATCAACAGTCTTTGATAATAATTCATCAATCATAGCTTGCAAGCATACAGACATTAAAATAGCTTGTTCTGAAGTAATTGTAATCCATTGTAATTGATTTTTAGCGATTAAATATTCAAAAGACAATTCTAAACTAAAATCCTCGCTTTCTTCATCGCCTCTTTCAGATCCCTAAAATTAAAATAAACTGAAACATGTTTCATAACATTAAAATTGACATGTATTAAAATATATCTTTCTTTTACAATTATTTACATTTTGCAATGTAGTTATACGCCAACAACGCATTCGTGAAACCTTAAATACTTCTTCACATTGTTCCCCATCATATAATATACGCAAATTTAATTCATTTCTACCTATAGCAACTAATACCTTTGAATTTGGTTGAGGATAATCACAAAAACATGGAGCAAACTGAATATACCCATGGTACTTTGAAACACGTACTATATCCAGATACTAAAACAATCACATTTAAATTTAATATTGTTAATTATTTATTCATGCATTGTATATATAGACTGCGAATGTTTATACACATAAAAATGTACAAGGTATATGCAAATATGTACAAAAAACATACAAAAGATGTATCAGATATGCACAAAAAATAAATATGTACAAGTATGCATCAAAAATAAACAAATATGCATGGATAATAAATAAATATACAAAATATGCTTTAATAAACATTAAAATTTGGGCAATTTATACCTGTTGTAATATATTCTGAGCAATTGTATCATTAATATTATCACTTTCACGTGTTGTTTAATATCAACACCAGTAGAAAATAGAAATCGTATTATTATGTATATTACGATTATCGCTAATGTCATATAACGATTTGACAATTTTATTCATCTATAATTGCAGCCAAATACAATCAAATAAATATAAAAATAATATATGCCTTTCAACATATTATTTTATATATCACATGTGCATTTAAAATTTGCATTTGCTTAAATATCCGCAATCAATGTACAAATATATATATGTATAAACATACTTCTTTTTTCTTTCCATGCTTTTGTAAATCAGTCAACTGATTTTTTAATTCATCTGTAATAAGAATCCATCCCCAGTGAATTTCTGCAACTGCTTGAATATATAATAAATTCATTGCCACTTCATCATTCATTAATTTAAGATCATATTCTATATCCCAATAATTTTTCCCCAGTACAATTTTACTTCCATTAATGTGTAGATGCTTAATAGTTATAAATGGAGATTCAAAATTTTGCAATTTTCGTAGTACTAAAAATAAGGAATGATGTATTCATTAATCATGTATGAAATATTGTAACAAAGACGTACTTACAATGAATACCATTTGTTTCATCTTGAGCAACAATAAATAGTACAAAATATGAGTAATATTGTTCAGATAGCCTAAGATTTTTGTATACCTTCTGTTAAATAAAATATGTTAATTCATTCTTAATTACTTTATACACTCATAGTTTGATATACAAAAAAAGTTACCTCTAAAACACTGCCAGAGTGATCTGCTGTAGAAACACTTATAGTTATTTTACAGCCATTCATGAGAAATATGTCTATAAATTCATTATTAGATGGGCCTCTAATAGTTTCTTGTTGCGCATTTAATAAAAATCCATTTAATATTTCTGAATTACTAACAACTGGATTTTGACCGATCGTTTGAATATATTTTTCCAAAGAAAGACGACGTTCCTCTTGCTGATTTGTTGTTAAAGAAAAAAATTTTTTAGGTGGAAATGTTGGAAGAGATACATCCAAATCTTTTGCTAATTGTTCATGAAGACTATGCAGTTGTTTATATCTCACAGTGCAATGAAATAATCCATTTATATAAATATTGTAACCCTGAAAGTTAAGATAAAATAAATATATATTAATATATAATAATACGTTGTAAAAGAAGTATACTTACCACATATGAACCAGCTGTATCAATAAATTCTTGTGTATCTGGTATAGAAAAGTGCATTTTTTATAAAATATAATATCAGTGTTTAAAATTTCTTTTATAATTAAAATGCATTATATATAGAGCACTACAATATAACAAATTTATAATAAATTATAATTTATACATGAAATTCATATTGTTATACATTGTTTTTTTATAAATACAAATGTTACTTAACAAAAACTTTCGACAAAATTAATATATGTAAACAGATAATCCAAAATGTACAAAAATATATATATAAATATTCCACATTATACATGGATATCAATCAAAATGTGTTTGTTTAAAGATATATGTAAATATATCCCGAAATATTACTCCATCTGGAAAATAAAATAATAATGAAGTATAAGGAAACTATATCAAATTCAAAGATATTTCAACTGTATGTTATCATGTAATGTGACAGATATTACAATGATTTAAATTCAAATTCACATATACTCGTTAATATAAATTATACATAATACTATTTCAATTTTGTATTATTTCAATCAATTAACCAAATATTAATTATATGAAGAATATGCATATTCTTTACTTACTTTCCCATCATTATTTATGACGATAGGCGTATTCATTTTACACCCACTCAGCAACTATATTTCTAGTGATTAACAGTGACGCATTTTTTAATACTTAATGTAAAATATTACAATGATTAATGATACAATCGAATATAATTTATGAGGTATTTTTTAGAAAAAATATATTTTGTAATTTATGTTTCACTTATATTTTATGTATATTTCTAATGTACAGTTTCCTAAATATCATTCATAACGTTATTTTTTGATGTTTTAAAATATATTTGATTTTTCTCATTTTTAATACTTTGTTTTGTAATTTCATAGGCGCCACAGCGCCTATTAATAACTTCTATTTTTAAATACACTAGATTAGACACTTATTTGAAAATTTCAGCCTATACAAAACTTTTTACTAGTACAAAAAATATTTTAACATTTCACTATTAATAAATATCTAAAATTTATATTCTGTATAATATAAATATACATATTCATGCAATAAAGTTACATTCTCTGAATCACTAAAACGAACAGATTCATATATTAAATTTTGGTGATATATAATATTTAGATTTTACAGGATTAGACAAAATAAAAATTTATAATTTTGCATAGGAGAATTATATTTTTAATGTGAAAATTAAAATAAATTTATATAATGTTTTCATTATACTGCCAGTTCCGGTTAATCTCGAACGATATATCGATTTGTACAGATGGCATGTTGAGTGTCTGAAACTTCTCTTTCCCATAGAAGGCTCGCGTTGAAATGTCAGGTGTGTTACACTCTTTCGAATATCTATTTTAATCACGTTTATCTTTCAATTTGTTGAAAAAATAAGAAATTTATTAAAGTATTTAATTAGTAACAAAGTGAAGAATTATTATACGATTCATATTTTTATTCACTATTGTAACAAACAATATTGACATTATAGAGCTAACCTAAAAGAATGTTTGTATTTTTGCAAGTACAATATTAATTTATAATATTAACATCTTCTCCACTATAATGGAACAAAAATCATTGTGTTAAAAATTGTTTACGATAGTTATAATATAAAAGTTACACCTTTGTATAATTATTTGTACATGATAAATTGAACAAATCTTATATTTTATTATTTATTATTCTTTCCTTGTTTATAATCTGAAATAATTATATCACTAAATTAACAATAATTAATTTTTATTTTTTTATTATTTTTAGAATGTTGATGCCAAAAAAGAATCGTGTAGCAATTTATGAATACCTTTTCAAAGAAGGTGTTATGGTTGCAAAAAAAGATTATCATGCACCAAAACACCCAGAATTGGAATGTATTCCAAATCTTCAAGTTATTAAGGCTATGCAGGTAATAATTACACATGATCTTCTGCTTGATTAGTATCATAAAATTTATTATAAAATTTGAGATCTATTCTATTTCTTATTTACTTTTTTAGTCTTTGAAGTCTAAAGGTTATGTCAAAGAGCAATTTGCCTGGAGACATTTTTATTGGTATTTGACAAATGAAGGCATTGAATATTTACGTGGATACCTGCATTTACCTCCTGAAATTGTACCTTCCACACTTAAAAGGCAAACTAGATCAGAAACTACAAGACCAAGACCTGCAACAGGTGCAAGGAGTGAAACATCTAGACCTACAGAAGATCGTGCTGGATATAGACGTGGCCCTGGAGGTCCAACAGGTCCTGGTGATAAAAAAGCTGATGTTGGTGCTGGTACTGGAGATGTTGAATTCCGTGGTGGTTTTGGTCGTGGTAAACCACAATAATATTTTAATGTAAGATAAATAAACATTTCTTAATATACAAGCATTGTTGTTTCAATTTCCCTTTTTAAATAAGGTATATATAAATAAGATTGACAAACAAAAATCAAGATTTATCATAATAACTTTTTAATTTATCTTTTGTTGTATTATAAAATTGTACATTTACTTACAAATTGTATAATTATATTTGTTATTAATATGTAAATTTATAAATGGAAGCAAATGGTAGGCAATTATTATAGAATTACAAAATGTTGAAATAAGTTTGATAAACAAATATATCATTTCTGACAATATGTGACAAAACCATAGTTTAAAGCGGAACATTACAGATATATATCTGTACTAAAGTAAGGTTCTCATTACAAATTTTTTATAATTTTATTGGAGATACAATTTTTTTGGAAAACAGATTTATATATATATATTAGCAGTACAATGTTGCTTTTCTTTTTAATTTTCTGATCTTATGTGAAATTTGTCGAATTCTTTTTGATTATATTATCAGAATCTTCTACTTTTTCCATTTTTGTACTAAAATACTAGTACCTATATTTATAACATAGCACAATGTGCATTTCCATGTCCATTTTCCATGTTTGCTATGCTTCAAAAAATAAATACATAGAAATTACTAGTCATCACTTGTAAATTTTACATAAAATTGACTTTAGATATATATTGAAATGAAGTAACTTAAACTTTATGGTTTAGCGCAATATATAATTTTATCGCTTGTCATATTTAATCAATGAATGTTATTAAGTTATTTTATATTTATATGTATTTCATTATAATGTAATATCCTCAATTTCTTAATTTGATAATTAGCAATTATACTACTACATTATTTATTAATATAAGCAATATCTCAATTTAAATATTTAATTACATATTTCAAAATTTTTAATATTTGCCAATTGTGAATTCCAATTAAAGAACAATTTGATAAATTTATTTAATTAAAGAAACTGCAGAAACATTGATTTTTTAGATATATAATTTTGTAGGAAAATACTTGAAATACAAAAAAATAATGTTATGCTCAGGATTAAACTAAATGGAATTAATCTTAGTTATATAAATACAAAATATTTTAAGTCTGCAATATTGAATTGTCATAATTTTACACTTGGAAGTTTTTTAATTTCATGCAAATCTTTTGTGATCTAGCAAGTTTGAATGTTTTATGATCTGTATGTATAAATACATGTTCTTATAAGCATAATCGCATACATATGTACATATAGAAATATATATATCATATGTAACACCTATAAAAACTACGATTAAAACCATAAAATCATATTTGCGTAGATTCATATTCATATGTAAGATTCATACATATGTAATACATATGAATTCTCTGAATAAGTTATGTTATCAATGAATTAGACATATTTTTTTAAAAGAAATAAAAATGGAGGCAATTTTTTAATCTAGAATGAACGTCCTAATAATCTTAGCTATTGTCACATCTCACTGTATCACAATTTGTACTCCAAAGGAGACAATTACCAATGCCACTATAACAAATTAGGAAAACTGCAAGAAGGAATACTAAACTACAAACAGTGCATGGTTTTCGTTCTAGGAAGAATCCAATTAGATAAAGTGCCATAAACATGACATGCGTTTGCAGTAGTGTCGGATTTACTGGCTTTGGTATCAGCAGCACTGGAATTAACCACTGTAGGCAATACATCTTCTTTACTTTGTTGTTAGAGATGTATTTGAACTAGTTGTTTCATCTATGGCAAAATCTCTGAAAAGGAGTGTATAAATTACTTTCTCTTAGTTTATTCGTAAATTCACTTTTTACATGCGCTACGACTTTTTCGTACCTTATTTGGAAGCACCATAATGTTCTCGAAACATCTCGTCCTTCAAAATTGAAACAATTTAATTACATATACCCATGCTAGTACAAAATATTTCTACTCTGAATTTTTCCAAATACATATAAGATTACACACATCTATAAATCAGATAGGAGCATACAGCTTACATTAACAGTTTAGCCTACTGTTTCATGAAAACAACCTTTAGATTATCTTTCAAAGTAAAAAAAATTTTTCAGTAAATTATTTTATCGTTATTTGACGTAATCTTTGTTAATAATGACTATATTTAATATTTATTATGTATATTTATTATCCTTTAATTTAACTTTTTCCATTCATTGACTAGAAATGAAATTGAGATGTCAAGTTTGCTTCATAGTATTAATTAAAAAATTTCTATTATTCTATTTAACGCGGGAACACCAAATAGCACTAAAATTTCTAAGTACAAAAAGCATAATATAACGAAAATAGATTTTGTTATTCGTAACTGTAATTGATCGAGAATTAGTGGATATTATGTCCTATATTATAATAACAAAATATTTTGAGTAAGATATTATATTATATAACTGTCTAATATGTATCGTAATAATCCAAACAAAAGTTCAAAACCAATTTTAAAATGTCAACAACAAACATGTGTCAAATCTAACGAAAGTTTAGAAAATATTAATGTTTTATCAGAAAAATCAGAGCGAACTTTTATTAGAAGTACTACTAAAATTCTTAATTTAATTAAAAAGCCTGTTACAAGTCATAAGGAAGAGAAACAAGAAAACAATATTTTAACTAAAGAAAAAGAAAATAATGCAGTTGTTATTAAGGAAGATTCATCCACTGATAGTAATACAATGTACATTTAATAACATGAATGTTTAATTTACTATAATACAGATCGCATTTAATTAATAATTTAATTTAATCATTTTATTTTCTAGTATTTTTAATGTAGTAATAGGCAAGAAATCTATGAGAAAACATAAAAAATGGGAAGATGACGGAACATTGGAAGTTACAGGAAAACATGCAATCCTAAAGGTGATTTATTCAGGAAACTATATATGTACACGAGTTTTTTATTAAAGTTATGAATAAGTTATATTTTTAAATTGAACAGAATACCGAAGGTAATATTATTCATAAAACCACAGTAAATCCAGAAGTTTTGATAGAAGGCTTTAGAATGTATATAGATAATAAAGAAATTGAGGTAAAAATAAGTATATACATTTTAATAATTTATCTGTATGAATTATTATACAAAATTGATATTAAAATATTTATAGATAATTGACAGGGTAAACTCTAAATACATGCCAAATAAATGTATTCCAGAAGTAATTTCAGAACCACCCACAAAGAAGTTGAAAACTTCAGGTTCTAAGCCATATCTTCCTTTAGGATCTTTACACAAAGGTATAATATATTAAACCAAATAAAAGATACTTTGAAACTAAATTTTATAATATATAAAATACATTAATTTTTATACATTATTAAAGATATGAAATTAAGATGCTGTCCATTGATAATGCCATCTATAAGTATTTCAAAAAATTGGGAAGTGAATGATGTATCAAAAAATGAAAAAGAAGTATCTGTAGATACTTGTTTAGTAAATGTACTCAGACAACATCAACGTCACGGTATTGTATTTTTATATGAATGTATTATGGGCTTAAAGGTACCTAACTATTTTGGAGCAATTTTGGCTGATGAAATGGGACTTGGTAAAACATTACAATGCATTACAATTATTTGGACGTTGTTAAAGAAAGGGCCGTATGGACATCCAATACTAAAATATATATTAATAGTAACTCCTAGCAGTTTATGTTATAATTGGAATAAAGAGTTCAAACATTGGTTGGGATTCCATAGAATATCTCCATATGTTGTAAATGCTAAAAACAAGCCAGAAGATTTCAAAAAACACATAAGGAACTCGGTTTTAATTATTAGTTATGATATGCTTATCAAATACAAACAAGAAATTGAACAAATACCTTTTGATTTAATCATATGTGATGAAGGTCATAGATTAAAAAATAATGATATAAAAACAGCAAAAGTATAAAATTCAATTTTAATTTAAGACCAATACGTGGTATAAAGTTTTATATTAAAGTTATATATTATATTTTTTTCAGATTTTATATAACTTGAATTGTAAAAGAAGAATTCTTTTAACTGGAACTCCAATACAAAATGACTTGCAAGAATTTTTTGCTTTGATTGATTTTGTAAATCCTGCTATATTGGGAAATAACATTGAATTTAAAAATTATTATGAAAAACCTATTGTTGCATCACAATGTCCTAATGCATCAAATAATATTGTATCTCTTGGAACTGAAAGAGCTAGTGAGTTATATGAAAAGACTAAATGTTTTATATTACGACGTACACAAGAAACTATTAATAAGTATTTACCTTCTAAACATGAATTTATTGTATTTTGCCGCTTATCAAATGAACAAGAAGATTTATATTCTCGAGTTACAGACTCGTGGTTTAATAAAACTGTATTACCAAATAATAGCATACCACATTTAACAATAATAACAGCTCTAAAAAAAATTTGCAATCATCCAGAATTATTTAATAATGAAAAAACTGAGTTTTTAAATATTGATACAAAAGCTACAAATAAAATTCCTAATATAAAAGATGTTACGAAAAAAACGTACTGTGGAAAAATTTCAATTGTACAAACATTACTAAGAAATTTAAAAAAAACGGATGAGAAATTAGTATTAATTTCATATTATACACAAACACTCGATCTATTGGAAACTGTTTGTGATACAGAAGGCTTACAATTTCTTAGATTAGATGGTACTACAACAAGCAATACAAGATCTAAGATTATAGAACGGTTCAATTCAACCACTGACAATAGTAGTTAGTATAGTCAATATTATTTGTGATTTGATTTAACTTAATTTAATAATTACTGGTAATATCCAATTTACACATAGGCTAAGTAAAAGTAATCAGTAAACAATTTTCTGAATATTTACATATCTATTGTAGAAATATTTTTATTAAGTGCAAAAGCTGGTGGAGTTGGATTAAATTTACCTGGTGCATCTCGACTTATATTATTTGATTCAGACTGGAATCCAGCATCTGATTCACAAGCTATGGCAAGAATTTGGAGGGATGGTCAAAAAAAAGATGTTTACATGTTACGGTTTGAATATTTCAAATTATAAATAAATATCAACATGTCACAAATATTCTTATAGTAATATAAATAAAATTTATAGATTACTAACTACTGGAACTATTGAAGAGAAGATCTTTCAAAGACAAATTAGCAAAGCAAGCTTAAGTGAAACTGTAGTAGACTTAAATTCATCCTCTTCGCTTAAATTGTCTACAGATGAACTAAAGGTTTGTTTGTAAACAATGTATTTTAAACAATATATATTTTAAAACAATGTGAAAAAAATAATATCTATATCTGTAGGATTTATTTACATTGGCAACAAATACAAATTGTTTAACACATGATTTAATGAAATGTTCTTGCAATGGCTATAAGAAATCAGAAGAAAAATCAGAAGAATCATATCAAAAAGATGACAGAGAATATCAATTTCTAGGAGATAAAGTGACAAAATCAAATTTAACTATAAACCAGCTTTTAAAATGGGAACATTACCAACAACCAATTTCGGATGAAATAATTCAAGTAGGAATAATTTAATATTGGATACTAAAATACTAAATATTACACTAACAATTTTTAAATGTTTTGTAGGAAATTATGTTATCAGAAGCATCTGATAATATAACGTTTATATTGAAAAATTCTGTAAATAAGAGTAAATAAGAGATTCAATTAATAAAAATATTTATTCCATATCCCATAAAAATAATAAGTATATAATTATAAAAGATATATAATTAAATTTTTATAATTTGTTTTTATATAAAATAATACTAATCCGTTCCAAGAAGTCAGGAGATTGTAAACGTTTTACAAGTTCAACTGTTTCTTCTGCATTAACTTTCAATAAAATGTCCTGATTCCATCTTTGAACTAAACGTTTAGTTGCCAATATAGACTAAAAATAGCATTTATTTAATGTAAATATATTAAAAAATGATATTTACAACTTATATAGAATAGATAATATTAAAGTATACTTCTGATGAAAGTTCTGTTAATTTTTGCAAATATGTCCAAACTTTGTTTAAATTTTCATATTCATATATTTCATTAACAAAGCCATAATGTTTAGCTTCAAGTGCAGTCATCTTGTGTCCTAAATACAACATGTCACTAGCCTAAAAATTATTTGAGTATTATAAATTTATTGAAAGTATAACATAATTTTAAATTAGATTACCTTAGATTTCCCAAAAATATTAGAAAACGTATATGTAGAACATCCTTCTGCAACAAGTCCTAATTTTGAAAATGGTGTTTGAAAGTAAGTCTGCAATGCAACATCTGTATATTAATTATAATTTAGTGAAAGTAAGAACTAAATAACATGTAATATAAAATTACGGTATTTGATGCATATATCAGATCAAATAATGCAAGCATTGTTACTGCAATTCCAATTGCGGGACCATTTACAACAGCTATTAAAAGCTTAGGATATGTAATTAATGTATCTATAAATTCTCTGAAAAATTATTATTAAAGTTTGTAAATTTGTAAGATTAAAGATTTAAAATTCATAAGTATATATATATATATATATACATACTTACTTATAGATATTAATTGTACTTTCAATATTGAAAGCACTATCATTTTGATTCATTAGATATTTAAAATCATTTCCAATACTAAAAAAGATTCCTGTACCAGTTAAAGTTACTACATATATTGTACTATCTTGAATAGAATTGTGTAAAATTCGTATTAAATCTTTGAACATCTATAAAATTGTGTAAATTTGTATTAAATCTTTATAAAAGTGTAAAAGTTTAATATTATAATATTATCTAATATTAATTAGATGTTAATTATATACAAAGAGTTTCAGACCTGAAAAATAATGACTGCGAAAAAATAAGTTGAAAAAAAAAGAATAAAATTTTTTCATTTCCGTTTTTGAAAAAATCGAGTTTGAATATTTTTGAAATACAAAAGATAAAAGTTAATAGTTATTCCACCTACCAAAATAAATAAAAAGTGTAGAATTTTTCCATATAACACATCTTGTCTTCAAGAAAATAGAATTTGAACGTGCTTAGTTAAAAATTGGCATAGCACAGATATGTATTTAAAATTCAATTTTCTCAAAAACAAAAGGTGAAAAAATTATATCCTACACTTTATACTGACTTATTTTTACAGCAAAATAACTCTCTTCGTTACTCATTTTTAACCAGTCCAAAATTTAATACTAGATAAATTTTTAAACTTTATTTTCTCGAAAACGGAGCTTTAAATGAAGAAATTTTGTTCTTTTTGTTTGACATATTTTTTAATTAGAATTATCGTTTCTGGTTCACCACCGGATCGGAAACATTCTGTTTAATGTGATGATTGATGTAAAATTATTATTATTATAAAAACTATATTTGTATTTGTTCTTTTACTTAAAATTTACATTTGCACCATTATATAATATTGTATTATATTATATTCAAATGAAATATTACTTACAGCAATAGTAATGGCATTTTTATTTTTTGGTCGATTTAACATAATTTTTAACATTCCGTTATCTATCGAACACAAAATATCGGATGAATTTTCATTATTCATTACGTATCAAACTATTTAAATTTTTAAATGCACACCGTTGCAAATTTGCAATTTACTTTAAATCTGACTTTATATCTGAAAAAACTAGAGTTGACATATATATATGTATTTCTACATAGCTCATGACTCATGAATCATAAAACAAGTGATTTATCTTTTATTTGCATGTCTTCCTATATATACAGAATATTATCTGCAACACGACGAACGATATGAGTTTTGAATTTGTATCGATGTTCTCTACAATAAGGTGGAAAAAAATTGTGTTCCTATTTGTTTAACCCAAAGTGACTTTGATTTAGCTATGAAAACAGTTTTCGAAATTTTTTTTTATTGAGACCTACTGTACACCCTGTACCGTTCAACTTTTGTTCTTCTCAACAAACTTTTTGTTAGATGCTGTAATAATTAATTTTAATTTTTCACGCCACAAACTTGCACTCCACAAGCATATATTTCAAAGATAATGCTATCAATTCCGCAAATAAATCTGAATCAAATATTCACTATAGTTTCTGAGAAATTATGCGCACACCACCGGCACTACTACTAACATAAACGAAAGTTGAATTTTTTTTCAATAGATCGAAGGATGTCCTTCTCGCACACTGTTGCTTTCTTTGTCTAGCGTCATTAAACAAGGAAAGCACTATCGTGCGACAAGGACAGACATATATGTGCGGTGGACAAGGAGAGCACTAGCATGCGACAAGGACAGACATACATGCGCGATAGAGGGCGATAGCGTGCGACAAAGACAGACATATACAGGGTGTTGTAATGCGATGCACCCACGCGATTTTTCACCCACTTACAGCCATTTGACAACAAAAAGTTTAGAACAAAAGTTGAACGGTACAGGGTGTACAGTAGGTCTCAATAAAAAAAATTTCGAAAACTGTTTGTTTTCATAGCTAAATTAAAGTCACTTTGGGTTAAATAGGAACACATAATTTTTTTCCACCCTATTGTAGAGAATATCGAGACAAATTCAAAACTCATATCGTGCGTCGTGTTACGGATCCGTCGTGTTAATATCCTGTATATATATATAGGAAGACTTATGCAAATAAATCACTTGTTTCATGATTCATATATGTATTATGCAATATAAATTAGGACTTCGTACGTAAATAAAAATTAGTGATATAAGTATCTAATATTTGAAAAAGTTATTAAAATATATTTCTTTTTCTTGTATAAGACACAATGAAATATTCATTTAAGTAAATAATAATATTATCTTTTACAATAAATTAATAATGTAAATAAATTATGAAAATATAAAATATCCATAAAAAGCAAATTTAAAAATATTGGATATATTTTAGATTTCGTAGCATTAAATTACTTGATTTAATATTGTTAATGAAATATATTTTTTCACATAATTTATACAAATCAAAAGATTTATTGTTCTGTAATAATAATATACACACTATAATTTTTAAACAAAAAGATCAAATAACATAGGAAAGTTCATTATGTATTTACAATGTTTATATTTTACTTTCATAAATAAATATAAAAGAAAAAAAGTAGTTATTTAACAAGTCTGATCTGTTGTTTTAATAATACAAGTAAATGTTACAAATGATCATCCTTATTTTTTATTACATAACTAGTATTGCTTATCAGTTAAATACTTGTTTTATAACTGATCATAATAGTGATTCTTTTTATTCTTAATAGTACCATTTGAGTAAACCTAAAATGTAAGATCTATCAAGATAGTACTTTTGCACTATACATGTGTTTATGATGTTATTATATTTGACATATATATTTATTCACGACTAGCATTTGCAACATGCTGTCTACTAAAAATTACCATGTTTATTGATTTCAAAATTATATTTTGTAATCACAGATTACATGGCCATATTACTGTCCCTACATATTTCTACAAAAATTATCATTTCATAAATAGCAATGTTTGTACATTATATATGATTTATATAAAACATAAATTTTATAAAGAATATTTAAATGCTTCTATAGTTAAGACTTAAAAATTTTAATTAAACAATTTTCACGCAGTACAATTAAACTAATGAAAATTATTACGTCCATTGAGAAGAGGAAGCTTTATTTGGAAATTAATCATAAATGTTTTCTATCAAGAAGATAGAAACTGTTTCAATTATTTAGTATTATACAAAGTGCGCAGTGCGAATTAAAAAAAAAAAGTTGTAATTCTATAAAAAAATGCATTTAAGATACATTTATTATATCTTATTATCTTTTATGTATAGTAAAGCATTTAGAATTAGATGTAAGAATCTCCTGATAAGTTAATTCGTAGTGTAAAATTATAAATTAGAAATATTACAATAACTTTGGTATCGTGAAATAGAAATAATTCATTCAAATATAATTTACACAAATAATTCATTGCTGCTATTTTGCTTTCCTTCTTTAATATTAAAACCATTTCCATCTACTACTGTCTTTACTCCTTCACCAAGCACTAGAATTAATAGAAGTAACAATGGAAAAGTTGGAAGTAATTAATTTTTAATAAAGAACAATAAAGTAATAAGTTTAATATTTAAAATATTAATATATTTAAGAAAACTATTACGGCTTCAAAACTTTTTCAATGAATTTCTTCATGTCACGCATCTCCTGTGAAAGTATTATTATTATATGAAATAATTAAGATATTATAATTTCACAACTATTATGATACTGCCTACCTCGTCGCAAGATGCGTGCATCATCCCTCTATATGTTTTGAATTCTGTTTGTGTCATGAATTGTTTGAGGACTGATGCAGTCAATTGACCCCATCTGTATGGTACTATTGGATCACAATCACCATGACATTGCAATAGTGGAGTATTTTTATTTCCTATTGCTTCCTATAAAATATGTAATATTAGTGATCATAAAATTATTAAGTATGATTTTAGTGTGAATATACACACAGCAGGAAATTTTTGATGCAAAGGAAGCCAAGCTGATAAAGCTATAACACCAGCTAAGGGTTCTGGGAATGTAAGAGCACTATATATAGCAAGAGCACCACCCTGACTGAAACCTCCAAGAACAATACGTTTTGTGGGTATTCCTGCTGCAACTTCCTCTGCAATTAAAGAATGTACCATTTCTGCAGCTCTACGAATACCTTCTTCATCTTCAGGACCACTTGGTTCCAAAGATCGTAAATCAAACCTATATTTATTATTTATTATTAATGTTGCATGAATTACTCTATATATTTATACGACTAATGAAAATTCATTACATACATATATTACTTACCAAGAAGGCATTCTAAATCCTGCATTTAATGTCACTGGCACTGTAGGCCTAAAATGATAAAGCTAAATAATATATTCACTTAGATAAAATTATTTAGAGTTCTTATTGAGTTATATAATGTAATTTTGATATCTATTATACATACGCAGTTGGACAAATAACTTTAATGTGAGGAGATCTAACTGCTCCCATTGAACTAGCCCAGCCATGACTATAGAACACATTAAATGCATAAAAATTATAAAGTTATACTGATTGAATTTAATTATACAAATTGCTATTTACCCTGTATCACCCAATCCGTGGAAAAATATAATCTAGAACAAAAATAAGATTATATTACATAAAAGTAATAAAATTACTTGTATAAATGTATATCATTAATTTCTTATATTCCAAATCCTACACGTATTTATTACATAAAGGTACTTGAATAGTACAAGTATTAATTTTTTTTTTTATTATTTTTAATAATGATAGATTTTAATCTTACGAAGATATATAAGTTTTAAATATAAGGAAAAATGAAAGCTAGAGTAGTACGAATATCACTCACACATTTAGAATTTATGTAATAAAATTATATTAAGAATAATTAACTTATGGTTAATTGAAAATCACTTTGCGTCAGGCATAACCAAAAAAGAGACATCTTGAAGAGATTTTCTGCTTACAGTTGCTGTATGTCTGGCCGTAGCTGCTATCACTACAGGACTCACTGTTGTCATTGTTCCTCGCTTTTTTGGACGGGCTGCGAGAAAACAGATAAAACGTATAACAATTCGGTAAAAATCGTAAATATAGAATGGCGGAAGATTCTTCTTTACACCGCTTGAAATTCCCCAAAGCAAAAAGAGAGGGGTAGATAAAAGTTATGCGCATGCTTTACGAAACCTCTTTTAAATGAAAATCTAAATTATTATGCGAACCTGCAAAATTGCCCATTATCAACGCATAACTGCAAAATATTTTTTTATTGATATAACGAAGTACCTAAAAATTCTGCAATTGATTCTTCTCGTAGTCGTTTGAAATTATCAAACAATCATAAATTAATATTTATAACAATAGTAGTCAGAGAATATGCATTTTCAAGAAGTGTTATAATTTCCAATCAAAATTTTTTTCTTTTTCTTTTTGTATGAAAATATTCATAATGAAATGAAATCAATGTTTAATAAGCTTGGTGCAAATGCAACAGAAAGAAAAATTCTCGCAACTCATAGACTATCTTTCATTTAAAATTAAGATTTCTTTAAAAGATTATCTTCTCTTGAAATACTAGTTAATTTTTACGTTCTTTATAGAGAAAAGAGAAAAAAATACATCGAAGGTATTGCAATTTAAAATAAACGATTCAGACCTTAGAAGCGGTCGAATCTTTGATTCTTGAATTTCAATTAAAACACATCAAAAGAAGGAAATGCAAAGGGACGCCACCTTGCAACGTATCGACCAATCAGAAACGAAGAGTGTCGGATTAGTTGAGCCTGCGACGTATACATTTTGGAATGCAAGTAGTGACCAGTGAAAAGATGGTGCTTTAATGGTGAGATATTCGTTCCGTGGTCGTTCCTAGCATCCTAGCCGACAAACCGTGGTTGCCAGCCATATTGTTTTACCGCAGTGTTTGTTTTGGTGCAGCCTAGTCAGAACACGAAGAAATCCGAAGGGATCGACAGAAAGGAAGACGGCAGAACTAGAGTGCAGTTAAAGAAACTATCCAGGCAGTGCGCGTATACGGTGATTTTGCTGTATTTTCCGGCATAATCATCGTACCTCGCGGGCTAAGCCCATAATCTGAGTGTCAGTTGTGAACGGGACGGTAGAAGAGAGAAATGGCCTGCGCCACACTAAAAAGATCTTTGGAGTTCGACCCGGTACATAGTCATGGTCGTCCTAGTAAACGACGACGATGTGTACCAATGTGTATTTCCCCTGGCACATCGACCCAAGCTAATTCCAGGCCACAAAATCCTTCGCCCTTCGGCGAAGTAACCCATAAACTGACGCCTGGTAATTACTTATAAGTTACGGCCATTTTCCTTTTTTTTTCCTTTCTATTTCGTTCTTTCTTACCGCGATATGACAGAGAAAAAATGAATGGTTAAATCGTAACAGCGATTTAAAACTTGAATTCGCGACGTTTAAATGGGGGGAAAGGTGCGGCGTTTAAGTAGGGGAAGGTGGATAAATCATATGGTAATGTAGTAACGGACATAGAGGATCAAGTCCCCTTTTTTCCGTATTTATAAACGTGTTTTCAGACAATTGTCTGATTTTATAATATTATAAATCGGCTGTTGAAATAAAATATGTTTATGTTTCAATGCGTCCCGTCTCTAGTATTTTTTAAAATGTTCTGCCCAAGTAATTAATTTGCAACAAATTATTAAATACTATTAATCAAGATTTTAAAAACTATATTATTTCAAATTTAGAAATTATCGTAATTGTCTTTTTTTTAATTGAACATATATATAACTAAATCTTTGAACAAAATTTAATATTCTAAAAAAATACAATACTTTGAATGAAAATAATCTATTTGTATACAGAAAAAATGGCTGCCAACATAAGAGAAGAGATTCGGAGACTGCATCGACGCAAACAATTGCATTTTAGTCCTCAAAACAATACTGGTGATTCTTCAGACATGGAAGGCCCTCCTTCTAGTCCATCTGCTTGTGGTTCAAATTCATGTAGTTATAGTGGAAAAGAGAAACCTTTATTTACATTCAGACAGGTGATTTACAATTTATCAGTTTAATTATTTTCTCAAACAAAAAAAAAACCTGTTCAACTAATCAATGATTTTATAGGTGGGATTGATCTGTGAACGAATGCTTAAAGAACAGGAGACACAAATTCGAGAAGAATATGATCAGATTTTAAATATGAAACTTTCTGAGCAATATGATGCTTTTGTTAAATTCACCTATGATCAGATACAAAAGAGATTTGAATCTGCAGCTGCGCCAAGCTGTAAATAATATTCATTAATTTGTTAATTTTTGAACAAATTTTCTTTATATTTTCAGATATATATTTATAATCTTTTTTTAATATTTCAGATCTATCCTAAAACCAGATTTTTAATTATAAGGATACGTTTCTGTGAAAAATATTAGGTAAGATATATATAATATGTCCATTTTAAGTGTTTACATGTAATTATTTCTATAAATATCAGAAATATAAAAAATGTTTCAGATAAAAGTTATGTGGTATTAAAGTGGTTATATTATGATAATAATTGTTTGACTTTGATTAATATCAGAATGTCACATTTAAATTTTTAAATGGATCGCTATATTTTTTATTGCTTATTTTTATAGCTAATATTGAGATGTATTCAAAATGTTGTTTTATATTTTCCATAGATTCCTATTGAGTTATCAACCCTAAAAATTTTCGCGTTGTCGGCATTAACCATTTAAAACGGACATATATAATGTTCACATAAGATTAAATTGTACACTTAACACCAGTAGAAAAAATATTTCATTTATTAATGATTATAATAAAATTTTCTATTAGTTTTTTTTATTATAGATTTCTACTGTGTGAGAAAAATTTTGCTTGAAATTTAAGTCGAGGAATGCAGCACCACTTCGTTCAAGAACATCTTTAAGAAATTCAAACTACGACTTACATTAAAAAATGTGTCTGGTAAAAACAAAAAAAAAAATATAAAAAAAATTAGTGATGTAAGTTTAGTAGATTTGCAGCAAACAGCAATCATACTACAAAAATTTACAATGTATACTATTAAAACTAACAATATTTGTACTGGCCAATGTTAGAAATGCGCTGGTATCAGGGAACTGTACTGAGATTCTAGTTATGTACAAACATGTAGGAATTATACACAGTGCATGATTATGCTTGGAGTCAAGAGCTTGACTTGCACAGGGTTCTGTAATATCACGTAATTGAAAATAGATCAAACTGTTCATTTCTTGCCCATTTTAACAAAAGATGAAATGACAAAGAATGATACAGATAATTCCTTAATTTAATAATACATGTATTAGATATTGCTCAATCATATGCGAATACTCTTGTAACGCAAATATAAAATAATGTATATTGAGGTTTGGCAGAAAGTACTGTGCATATGAAGAGATATTACATAATTAAATTATCTCTCGGGGAAAGTTGTTTTCGTTGAATCTTAGTGGTATTTTATTTTTGAAAATTGTAAGATAATTATATGCAATCTATTCAGAAAATCATATTTCAATGTTCTTTTGCGTATATGATTCATTGTCTATAAATTTTCAATGTAAGCAACATTTCCCGTATGGATGTGTTCGAATTTAAATAACGTACATAACTTGTAGAACTATGTACATTATTCGATATTTCGTTCCTTGAAGTCAAAAATTGATTTTTAAAATTTCAAGTCATTGATTTGTCGCGTTTACTTAAATTTTGTTGAGTTTTTGTTATGTGTTAATTTTTTTCTAGCAAAAATATTCCTTTATTTAATATACGAATATAAAAGTTTGTAAAGAATTCAAGATAAGATATAGTATGTAGCATTGTACGAACATATTGTCAAAAATGAATATTTGAAATAAAGATTTCATAAAATTTCGCAAATATTTCTGTTCCCTGGTAGCAACGACTTTCTTTATCATAATAAAGCAGTAAATAATGAATATATAATACTTATACCTTAATTGTGCCTATTAGATGCGATACATATTATCTAATGTTATTGATTTTTAAATTTTTAGTTTATACTCTCTCATTTTTATATTATATCTCGTGTTCCCTTGTTTTTTTTTTTTTTTGTATTTAAATAAATGAGGAAGCAATATGAATGAGGCTTTCTTGGTTGCTGCATGCATTTTGCTTTGTTGTAGCATGACATTTACTCACTGAAAAAACATTAGGTACCAAGAAATATTTATTCAAGAAAATTTCTGTGAACTTGTTACAATTTATTTTCATTCTAATATTTGTACATTGGAAGAGAGAAATTTTGTTTTCCTACCTATAAAATTACATTTTGAAAAAGGGCATTAAGAATTGCCTTATTCATTCCCGAAAGAAAGGTGTCTTTCAGTTACCAGAACAATTTGGGAACACAATGTTAGTGTTCATACACGATAATATACATAATATGTCAAATGTTTTCTTAGTGCAAAGTGCGAAAAAAGAAAGGAATATAAGTGGTTCTAATTGTCAATAATAAGTAATATCTACTTCAGAAAAACACTGTTTTCCATTAAGAAAAATTTTGTGAAAATATATTGACGAGATTCTTTAAGAACTCAAGGGATTAATTTCAATTAAAATACCTCCATATTATATTATGTAAACACTTATTATTGAAATAAATATAAATATAAGACTGATCACATGTATTTCTTTATTTTAACCTACTTAAATTAATTGAATGTAGTTCAACATATTTTTTTTTTGTATAAATGTTTAAAAAATAATTCATATATTGTACAAAAATATTCACACTACTGTTTAACCATGTTTTCTAGTTGAAAGTGCATGAACTACTGAGTCAGTTCCACAATATGTATAACAAAATTCTTACATACATGTTCCAATCTCATTAACTAACTTGTGTAATAAACTAATGCTATTAGTAGTATGGCTTCAAGTAAAGAAGCCCTTCCAAGACTATATGAAGTTCCCTGTTCTTGCTAAGAGACTGTCACTTCTGGGCGGGAAATAAACTTCTGGTAGTTCATTTAATTGGAGAAAGGGTGCCAAATGTTTCCTCTCTTGTTTTTGGCTTTTGTTGTAGCCATCAAAGTATTTAAGAAAACAACTCCAAATGGTAAGTTACAAAATATTAGCATCAATATGTAACAATGCAATATTTTTCCATAAACAATATTTAAAAAATTAGTAGCTTTATTTGAGCAATTTGTTTTTAAATTATAATTTCTTATTAATTACAGGAAAAGTCACAGTTTACCTTGGTAAAAGAGATTTCATTGATCACTTGGATAGCATAGATCCCATTGATGGTATTGTTGTTGTTGAAAATGATTATCTTCAGGGCCGAAAAATTTATGGACAGGTAAAAAATAAAAAATCTATATAAGATTATATATACATTCCTATATCATACATCATATGAAAAGAACTTTATTGCTTTATTCTTCAGGTAACAACAATTTTTCGCTATGGACGGGAGGAAGATGAAGTTATGGGTGTTAAATTTAGCAGAGAACTGGTTTTATGCCGGGAACAAATAGTTCCAATAAAAAAGGAAAAGCAAGATATGACACCAGTTCAAGAACGTCTTCTAAAACGTCTTGGAGCAAATGCATATCCATTTTTATTTCAATTTCCACAAAGTTCTCCTAGTTCTGTTACATTGCAACCTGGTGATGATGATCAGGGAAAACCATTAGGAGTAGAATATACTGTTCGAATATATGTTGGTGAACATGAAGAAGACAAGGTAATGTCCATAATTAAATATTTATATATAATACATATATATATGTATGTATATGTATATATGTAAATGTATGTATGTAATTTATAATTTATATATAGGGACATAAAAGATCATCTGTTGCATTAGCTATAAAAAAATTACAATATGCCCCACCTACAAGAGGACGTAAATTGCCTAGTTCTCTGGTTTCAAAAGGATTTACTTTCTCTCAAGGTAAACTGAATTTGGAAGTTACACTTGATAGGGAAATATATTATCATGGAGAAAAAGTAGCTGCAAATGTTATAGTTACTAACAATTCTCGAAAGGCAGTAAAAAATATTAAGGTATATATAAATATATGTAAATATATATACATATATAATGGCATAGTATTGTATTTAGCATAATTTTAATAACTAAATATTTTAGCTCTTTGTGGTACAACATTGCGAGGTAACAATGGTTAATACTCAATTTTCTCGACACGTGGCTAGTTTGGAAACACGCGAAGGTTGTCCAATTACACCTGGAGCATCCTTTACGAAGCAATTTTATCTTGTTCCATTAGCCAGTAGCAATAAAGATCGTCGTGGAATTGCTCTTGACGGTCATTTGAAGGTATGGTAAAAATAATATGATTCAATAAATAAATAAATATAACTCTCGTTGCATTCACTCTGTATATCTTTGTTGATATTTTAGGATGACGATGTAAATCTTGCATCTTCAACTCTTGTCGCAGATGGTAAAACTCCTAGTGATGCTATGGGTATTGTTATTTCTTATTCTATTCGAGTAAAATTGAATTGTGGAACATTGGGAGGTGAATTAGTTACAGATGTTCCATTTAAACTAATGCATCCAGCTCCTGGTAAATAAATTTTATTATTGAACACAATATTACTAATTAATTTAATATTTAACATATTCAGTAAAAAAATGATACTAAATAATTTATTTTTTATTTAATTTTTTTATTTATTAATTCCTTTATCTTTACAGGAGCTGTAGAAAAAGAAAAAGCTACTTTGAAGAAGAATAAGAGCATTGAAAGGGCACGATATGAGAATTCTTGTTATTCAAATGATGATGATGACAATATCGTGTTTGAGGATTTTGCTCGTTTGCGTTTGAATGAACCAGAGTAAAAAACAGCACTTGAAAAAAGAAAAATACTTATTTTGAAAGAATCTTAGATTCACAATTCTTTGTAGTAATTTTAAATCAAAATGTAATAGAAGTATATGCATATATGTAGAATTCGTCGATTCTAGGATTCTTTTGATATGAGTTATATCTAACAACTGAAAAAATAATAAAAGTACGGAAGGTAAAAAAAATTAGAATATCCATATATGACTATTGGTATATGGAACTGAATATTAATATATCAAGAACAATATAATAAAAAAAAAGTACAAAAAAAGCGAAAAGCATCATAAAAAATGTATATCGTCTTATAATTTCTATCCGGTAGTGGTGGTCGGTTAGAAATTCACATAAAGACGAAAAAAAAAAAGATTTTAAGTAAGCTTAATAAGTAATTTATATTTGGCTAAGATTAAAATTTTCCCGCCTTACCAGAAGTGACATGTATGCTATTAACTTTGATTTATGGTGATTATAACGTGTCTGTAAAATGTTCGTTTATTACAAACTGACATTGTTGAGCTATATCTGTATATTAGAAGAAAAATATAAAAATTTCAAAATGTTAATTTCTGAGTTTGTTTGCTTTATATTTAATTAAAAATATTAATTGTTTTGAATGAAAATAAGAAAAATGAATATTTACCAAACCCAGAAAATTATTTATTTTATAACTATACAAAATATTACAAGAATTTTAATAATCGCTCAGTCTTGTAAAGCATTGTTTATCAATGCTGACTGCATTTTGATTAGTCATACATATGTGAATAATATTCTTGATATGTTTGAATATATGCTTCTTTTTCCACTGGTGTCATTTCTGCTATTAATGCATCATTTACATCTGCAATAGCAACTGTTTTTCCTGCAACAGTTACAGTTGGTACAAGATCTTCATCTTCAGAATCCATTGTTTCTACTTCTCCTAAAAAAATTTTAGAAAATTTCGTAATTTAATTTTAATGTTAAAATGATAATTTTACAAGCTATTTAATACATTTTACAAAAATAATACCTGTATCAATAGCTTGCATTTCTGCAACTTCTTCATTGTCACTGCTATCACTAGATTCTTGAGGTAATACAGATTTTATAGCAGCTGTTGAATTTGTTCCTCCTTTTTTCTCATGAGCCAGTAATACAGACATTATATCTTCCCCTTGTTTATTATTAGTTGTGGTTGTATTAGTAGCAGTAGCTGCAGCTTTATCCAAAATATTTTCTTGTGCGTTAACTCCATCAGGCTAAAACAATATAAAAAGTAAGGCAAAAAATATTGCTGAAAGATATAACAAAATAATTTTTAAAACAAAAAAAACTAAATTTTTAACCAAAATTTACCTGTGAATCAGCGTTAATAACAGTACTTTCCATCATCCAAATTGGTCTTTCCTTTCTCCTGCTTGCTGCATTATCATCAATAGAATCATCGCCAATTGTAACATCTACTCTTGTATCTTCTACCATGAAGCCAGATGATGACCTTGTAGCTTCACCAGACCATTGTTCACCAGGTGCTCTTAGACTACTTGGTTTTCTTGTATCGATACTAAAAAAGGAGAATATAAATAATATGCAAGAACGTTGGTGCATTAATAACAATTTTATTAAAAATCTGTACCCTTTAATGGTATTTATATCAACTGGTTCAGGTTCTAATACTTCAGGAGCTAATTTGATACCTTCAACTTCCCTTAATAAAATATAAAGAGGTTCTAATTGTTCATTGAATTTAGCTAATAATAATCTTGAATCTTTTTTAGGAAGGGCAGACTGATCTTCTTCTACTACTTCACGGCAATATGTACATCTAAATTCACCAGTAGTCATATCAAATAACTGATCTGCCTATATTATATCATAGTAATAAGTATTTTATTATCAGTAAGTTTATAAGGTAATAAATCTATGTTTTACAAATATTCCTCATGTTTTATCTCTTTTACTTTTATTTGTTATATAACTAAAATATTTGAGAAATTATAATTTACAATTTATAATTTACCTCAAGATCAGTAAAAGTTTTTAAACAATTTGTACATTTAAAACTGGCTCTACTAGTTGCATCTCTTTCTTCAGTTTCCATTCTTTTTCTCATTAAATCTAATTTATATTTAACCACATTTACAAAAGTCTAAAATATAAAATGTAAAATAATTAATTTGATAAAAAAAAAAAAATAAAGGCTTTGTCTTACCTTATAATTAATAAAATAATAGTTGACTTTTTGTGCTTTTCCATCTGATCCAGTTTCCATTTTTAATCTAACTTGTATAAATTTATCATTACGTAATGTAGATATTCTAGCTCTTAACATTTTACGTTCAAACTTTAAAAGTTCACAAATATCATCTTCTTTCATACCTAATAAAATACGATAATGAAATGTTGTAATTACAATATTACTATACGTATATAGAATGTACTTACATGGATTTCTAACCAACATATCAACAATTAATGCATCTTCTATTGTATAAAATCCACGCACTACTAAACGTGCTAATTGCTTTAAACTACTGGGAACTTCTGTGACAAGTCTTTCTTCACTACTCATCTTGTTTTTAGTTACATGGAATAAAATATGAGAATTACTGCAAAAATTTTGATAAATCATTATAATTTTTACATAAATTATATTTATATTTCTGTTTGTATAATATACTTTATAAACACTTAGCACTTTATTAATTTCACAATTATATTGAAATGATGTTATTAATTATATATTTCATACAATTTACTATTTTCAGTTTAATTTGTCGTAAAAAATACTAACCTTTAAAGTAGTATAAGTAATATATTTATCATTAAATATTTCAAATAAATATCAATATAAACAAAATAAATTATATATTACAATATTAAATGTATATTCTTTCAAAATAAATAAAAAACCAATGGAAGAAAATACATTATTTCATTGTTTGATTAAATATGACAAAGCACCGTTCTAACGGACGCTTCTTTATCAGTATAATAGTTTTTAGGTTATGTATTCTTAATACAAAATTATCAAAAACTATCTGTCAAACAACAGGAATAAAGGAACAAAAAGATATATCTTTTTCATGTAATTTCATAAAAATTACTAATGGCTGCAATCGATAAAGTTAAGATTATTGTTGTTGGTGATTCTGGTAAGAATATATATATATATAAAGCAATTCTATAATACTTTTTGTTATTGTCATTACTTATTATATTATCTATCTATCTATCATTATCTATTATTTTGTTAATTACAACATAAATATTATATTTATTACTAAAATATGTTATAATTGCATAATTTACTTATATATAAAATTGTATTTCATATATTTCGTACATATTTCTATGACATCATTTGTAGGTTATCTATTACTTTTTTGACACACATACACACGCACGCGCGTTCGCACGTGATTAGATAATTATTAAAGATTTTTTTTTTTTTATATTTAGGTGTTGGAAAAACATCATTAACACATTTAATATGTCAACAACAACCTATTAGGAATCCTTCATGGACTATAGGTTGCTCAGTGGAAGTTAAATTACATGAATATAAAGAAGGAACCCCTAATCAGAGGAGATATTTTATTGAATTATGGGATGTTGGAGGAAGTCAAAATCATAAAAATACAAGATCTGTTTTTTATAACCCTACAAATGGTATAAACATAAAATATATAACAATGAAATAAAAATTTAACAATTATTAATCACTATTAATAATATAGGTATCATATTAGTCCATGATTTAACAAACAGAAAATCACAACAAAATCTTCAAAAGTGGCTTGAAGAAGTTTTAAGCAAAGATAGTAATTATATGAAATCAAAGCCATTTGATGATTTTGATCCTGAAAAATTTGTAGGATCTACGCAGGTAATATAAATCATTCCTAACATAATTTCATAATCTTTTAGCATGTTCTTTTATATAAATAAAATAATTTTTCCAGATACCAATTTTAGTTATTGGTACTAAATTAGATTTAATTGCTGAAGTCAGATCAAGTATACATAGACGTTCTTCAACTATTGCAGAGGAATGTGGTGCTGATGAAATATTTTTGGTATATCATTTGTTTTTTAATTATTATACATTGGTATTATTTGCTTCAAGTTAATGTTGTTTTTAGGATTGTCATCAAGTGAGATCACTAGCTGCTGGTTCTAGCTCTTCTGTCAAATTGAGTAGATTTTTTGATAAAGTCATTGAAAGACGATATTATTCATTAAAAGAAGGAATCAGTCCTGACAAACGAAGACTGCCAATGAGTAGTGTTCCTTATAGTTCTAAAATTTATCATAATGATTGAAATTCAGAGAAAATCCATTGTATCTATTTTTATCATTAATAGAATTTTTGTTCCTAAATTTCTTATACTACATTCCTAATTTGTATGAGATATATATTTGTTGTTATTGAAATATATATCTAAACTATTAAAATAAAATATTACAAATAATTATTTAAAGACTATTGTTAAGATATTTATGTATAAAATATAATAAAAATATACATTTTAAATTAAAATATTAAATATGTTTTATTTCTTATATAATTATATATAAATATAAAATATTTATTTAGTTGAAATATTCAAAATGAATGGTATTTTATATTTTGTTATTTTTACATAATATAGTTTGTGAACAAGGCTTTAAGCATCAGTATAAATTCTTATGAACGAATCATGTTTGATGATTCCATATTACTTTTTTAATTACGTCATGACAAAACGCGCGATAGATAACTTTTGAAATTGAATTTCTCTGTAGACGAAATTTTTTTTTAATAATATTAAAACATCATGAAAGAATCAATTTTGATAAATAACAAGAAAGGATGTAAACAGAAGCGTAAGTACATATAATTTGGTTATACATTTGCCAATTATTCAGTTTATCAAATTTATCAATATCATACTTCACACCTACCTTTTTCAATTTCCTAGTGTGCGTATTCTATTTTAAGGTAGATACATGTGATATGTTTTTATACGTAATATAAAGGTTATCATACATCATCTGTCAGCTAAAATTCGATAAATATGTGAATATTTTTAATCCTACTCATTAGACAATTTTTCTATATTTTGCTAATTTTTTAAATTAAATGTATATTTATCAAATATTTGTTCGTAAGAGTGAACATTTTTCTAATCTAATTATTAATAATATGTATAAGTAATGTACATAAGTAATAAATTATGACCTTTTCCTTAGGACATCTTTCTCTATGATGACTTACTTGTTACCAAAAAAATTTTTCAATCAAAACTATTTTACAAATTTGTCCAACAAATTTGTGCAACATATTCAAAGTCATGGATATGTTCATGATGTTGGTTTAATCGAAAAAGGCCCAGTTGCTATGTTAAAAAATAAAATTGCCAAAGGAGAGTTAATGGAAGATGAACATCAAATAAATGTTGCTAAAACATTACAAAGTATTTATGAAGAAATAAATGGATATAAACCTGAAGAATTCAACTTATTGGACAAATGGCTAGGTAGAAAAAGGAAACAACCACCAAAAGGGCTATATATTTATGGAGCAGTTGGTGGAGGTAAAACAATGTTAATGGATCTTTTCTATGAATGTTGCCAGGTATTATACTCTATAGTTCATATAATTATGGCATGTGGTTTTACCATCATTAATTAAATCAGCATATAATTGAAATATATTATTTTAGATAGAAAATAAGAAAAGAGTCCATTTTCACTCTTTTATGGTGGATGTACATAATAAAGTTCATGAAGTAAAGAAAAATATTGTACGAGATGTTAGTAGTACTAAACTTCAACCATTTGATCCAATACCACCAGTTGCCAAAAGTATTACTGAAGAAGCATGGTTACTTTGTTTTGATGAATTTCAGGTTTAATTCTAAAACATACAACTAATTATTTATGATTTAATTTAATATATATTAATAAAAGTTTATATATCATAGGTAACTGATATTGCAGATGCTATGATACTGAAACGATTATTTACTGAACTCTTTAATAATGGTGTAATAGTTATTGCAACTAGTAATAGAGCACCTGATGATTTATATAAAAATGGATTACAAAGAGGAAATTTTATTCCATTTATACAGGTTTTAAAAAATTATTGTATTATAAATTCTCTAGATTCTGGTATAGATTATAGACTAAAAACAGGACTTACAGATGAAAAGATTTATTTCATGTATGTCCACTTATGTACAGATAAAACATATAGTAAGATATTTTTTTTTAAAGAAAGATTAATTATTACAGAAAAGGAAAAGATGCAACAAGTGATGTGGACAAAGTGTTTAAATATTTATGCTCACAGGAAAATGATGTTGTGAGGTCTCGGACTATTTCTATAAGAGGTCGTAATGTTACGTTTGAAAGAACCTGTGGTCAAGTATTGGATTCAACCTTTGCAGAATTATGTGATAGAGTAGGTTTATTATTAAAAACTTTCATTACTTGTTTACAACATTATTATAAATAAATTTTCATTTGTAGCCACTTGGTGCTAGTGATTATTTAGAACTAAGTCAAGCATTTCATACAGTCATTATAAGAGACGTACCACAATTAGATTTTCGTCTTAAATCACAAACTAGAAGATTTATTACATTAATTGATACACTATATGATAATAAGGTAGGCTGAAATATATTTTATTTATTTTACACATTTAATCATTTAAATTATTATAAATATTTATACTGATATGAGCAAACATTTGTCAGGTACGAGTTGTAATATCTGCAGCTGTTCCACATACAAAACTTTTCGTGCCAGAAGGAGATAATGAATATACAGATGAAAAACGAATGCTAATGGATGATTTAAAAATATCGCATGGTTCAGTAAGTTATGAAACAATCATCATTATGCAGTTATTATTTTCCACTGTATAATTTTATAATTTTGTATTTTGTATCTTTAATAGGATGATCATAAATCTAATCTTTTTACTGGAGAAGAAGAACTTTTTGCTTTCGATCGCACTGTATCACGACTTTCTGAGATGCAAACAGCGCGATATTGGGAACAATGGCAACATTATAGATAATAATAATTTAAATTAATAAAAATTTCAATAGTTTTGTTTAGGAATTTTTTCATTTAGGTGATCAAATCGCGAACTATTGGTAGTTAACTTGTTGGTAATCAATTTTCAAAAAAGGTACAGTATTAATTTGAAAAGAATAATAAATACTTTCAAGTACGCTATATTAGAGATATATTAAATTTGCATAAAATATATCACAATGTATTTCAGAAAATATTTATAATATTTATTTCTAGTACATAAATTTATTTATTTTGTATTCCATTCATAAATGGATATTCAGCAATAAAGAATTGATATAATAAAAATTTAAGTATTAAATAATATCTAATAATAATTTAAATAATATCTAATATACTTATTAATAATTAGAAAATCGATCATTTTTCATTTTAGCAATCATTACAAAACAACTTCTTTATTTAAACTCGAATATCTTTAATGCTTTCCCAAATCAAAATTAATAATTAATAATGAAAAAATTAAAAATTACACTGATTAATGATTTGCATTTTAGAATAAACATTTTTTAATTTGAAAAAAGAGTATTTTAATTTTCGCGGGGTATATATGATGCATGTAATGTAGCATTGAATGAAAGTTGTATCATAATATTAGAGTAAAGTGGGAGAAGGATTATTAAGATAAAACTGAAAGATATTTATATATGTATATAGATAAATACATACATAAATTTTTTTTACTTTATCATCTGCTAATCGTAAGTTACAGGTCATTTCAATGTTATCAGTTTCTAAACAAAATTTATAAATATAAAGCAATCACATTTCTCTTACGTGTTGTTGTTACATTTACGCATTCAAAAAGATCAAATATTTTTGTAAGTTTTAAGAAAGGTATAATGGATATCCAAAAATTGGCTAATGGTAAGTTGAATTTAAAAATTTTTAATTTTTTCATGTTTTTAATTTTTATATATTTATGTTTTAGCTACAATGAATTTCGATCAATCTGCAATAGATGAAAAAGTTAATTCTATACGTTCTAAAGTTAATAAATTGGAGAATCATGTTAAAACTGCTTGGTTGGTAAAGGCAATAGGTTTCCTAGATTTGACTACTTTAGGAGGTGATGATACACCTTCAAAAATTGAAACTTTGTGTGCTAAAGTAATATTTAATTTTCTGTTAAAACTTCTGATATTTTAAATATAATGTATAAAAATTTTATTATAATTTATATATATATATTTATAATTACAGGCAGCAAATCCCCTTAAGTTACTAAATTATTCACATTTACATACTGCATCTGTATATGTGTATCCTATGAGATTTGTGGATGCAGTATCTGCATTAGAAAAACTTGATAAAGAACATAAAATATCCAGAGCTACTGGTAAATAATAAAATTTTATTTGAATAACTTAAATCAAAATGCAATGAAATATATTAAATATATTATTTAAATAGTGGGTGGAGGATTTCCATCTGGACAATTTCCATTGGAAACACGTCTTCGTGAAGTAGAAATAGGTGTTGAATTAGGAGCTGACGAAATTGATATTGTTATTAACAGACCATTAGCTTTGATGCAACAATGGAAAGAACTATATGAAGAACTAAAATCATTTCGTGCTGCTTGTGGCAATAAATGTTTAAAAGTTATACTTGCCACAGGAGAACTAGGTAATTTGGACAATGTATATAAAGCATCTATGATAGCAATGATGGCTGGAGCAGATTTTATTAAAACATCTACTGGAAAAGAAGTAATAAATGCTACCTTGTCTGCTGGAATTATTATGTGCCAGGCAATTAAGGATTATCATGAATCCACAAAAAGAAAGGTATAAATCTTTGTTTAACTAAAAGAAGAACAAAAAACAATATTATATAATGTTTCAGGTTGGTTTAAAACCTGCTGGTGGTATTAAGATTCCACAGGAGGCTTTAGAATGGATGATGTTGGTCCAAACGGAATTAGGAGAGGAATGGTTGTCTAAAGATTTATTTAGAATTGGGTCATCCAATTTAATAGATAACATAGTCGAAGCGTTACAATCAAATTAATATGAAATTTTTTAATTGTTTTTAAAATTTTAACTTTCAGAAACTCTTTTGTATAATGTTATTTCTATTTCCTATTTAATAAATGAATTATCTTACAATTAGTATTCCATTTCGGACATGGCGTTATTTATTAACGAAACTAATAAATTTTTAAATATTTATATATGCATTTCTACAAATTAGAATACAAATTTCTACAAATTAACTAAAGTATAGAAAAAAAAGTTGAGGACCTAATTAACAAAATACAATTACAGAAGTTCTCAAATTAATTCTTTAAATTAGTTTTTTTGCAAATAAAAATTTATTCAATTCACGGATATAAAATTCTTGAATTGAGGCACAAATTACATATGATTAATTAATTAGGTAGAAAATTGTGTAAGTAATATTTCTTAGAGTTAAATTTTTAATTTACTTCCAAGATAGATTATTTAAATTAATATTTAATTTAGACCGACAAATTTAATTTTCAAATTTAGTCGTGAAGAGATTAGTTCCAGTTTTTCATCACTATGTGGCACTAGTGTTTCTAGTATGAACAATTTTTATTTGTAAAAAGCCTTAATTTGGAATTTAGAAGATTAATTTGTGAATTTTTATAATTGTGTATTTCGTATCTTTATCTCTCTTCTTATGTACCGTTTGATACTGTTTATAAAATATACATGTAAAGAATTTTACAAATTTTGTTCTATAAATCATTTCATGTCGAGACCAAGAAATATAAATTTTATGGTTTTAAAAATTTAATAAAAATTAATTTGCATTTGAAAGCTGATGCTGAAAGCACATCTATGTTCCATGTTGATTCAAGTTTATCAGAAAATAAACATTATTTATATGAACGCTTCAATTTATTGAACAGAATTTTTATATATGCATTTTACATGTCAAATGGAATAAAAAAGAAAGTTGAAGAAGATTCAGAAACGTAGATATAATTATAAAAATTGATAAATTAATTCTTTTAATTAATTCTTTTTTGCAAATGAAAGTATGATTATTAATTATTTTGGCCACAGTGGCGCTGTAGAAAACTTTGAATGTGTGTAGTCTAGATGCGAAACTCATAGCCGATGGGCCACAGACGCTTCTCTCTTTTCCTGCTGTAGATTATCATTCTTTGAACGTTCCTTTCCTTTTTAGAAAACCAAAATGGTAAGTACGATTATTTGTTGTCAATATAAAATCCGTTTGCATCGACTGTATTATGTCCTGTATTTTTTAATATATGTGTAGAGTATAAACTAAATGAATTAAAGTGAATATTCCTATATGATGTGTTAAATTTATTTCATTATTATTAAACATGACATACGGCTAAGATGTGTATGTGTAGATTATCTTTTTATAACGAATCAATTTCTCATACGTATGTATAATAATAATTTTCTTATAAAAATAAATTTTTAATTTAACAATCTATGTGTATTATATTTTGAAGAAATAGAAGAAACGTGTAAATTCTAACCTAACCTATAATGTATAGACAGTATACATTAAATTGAATAATATTTTTGGTATTGAAAAGGCTGCAAAATTTATATAAATTGTTTTATTTAAAATGATGAAATGAAATGTGTAAAATTTGATTTTAGGCTCGTGGGCCCAAGAAACATTTAAAGCGTCTCAACGCACCTAAAGCATGGATGTTAGACAAACTTGGTGGTGTATATGCTCCACGTCCATCCACGGGACCTCATAAATTGAGAGAATCTCTTCCTCTTGTTATTTTTCTTCGCAATAGATTGAAATATGCATTAACTAATTGTGAAGTAACAAAAATTGTAATGCAACGTTTGATTAAAGTTGATGGTAAAGTTAGAACTGATCCCAACTATCCTGCAGGTTTCATGGGTAAGTTTATGAGACATTTTTATTTACTTGTTATATATACAAGGCTATATCGAAGCTATAATATTTTTTAAATGAAATATTATAGTCATACATTAGCCAAAAGTAAAATAAAAGTTCTTTATTTTGGTCACAGATTGAGTTAAATATTTTTTCTGTATTACCCAAAAAGTGCACATTTTATATATTATTTAAAAAAATATATATATATTTAAGAGAGACAGAAAATTAAATGTTGTTAATGAATTAAATTTGCTTTTTAGATGTCATTACCATTAATAAGACTGGAGAATATTTTCGATTAATTTATGATGTTAAAGGACGATTTACCACTCATAGAATTACTGCAGAAGAAGCCAAGGTTAATCAGTAACAAAAAATTCATTAATAATTCGTTAAAATATATTTATTTAATTGAAAAATTAAATATTTCTTCTTGCAGTATAAATTGTGCAAGGTAAAACGGGTTCAAACAGGACCAAAAGGTATTCCATTCCTGGTAACACATGATGGAAGAACAATTCGTTATCCAGATCCCTTAATTAAAGTTAATGACACTATTCACTTGGATATAGCATCTGGCAAAATTTTGGATTCTATTCGATTCGATTCAGGTATAATATTTTTTTGTTTTAAATTTTTATTTCAAATAAAAAATATGAAACTTACTAATTAATTGTTATTTTTTAGGTAATCTTTGTATGATCACTGGTGGTAGAAATTTGGGACGAGTAGGCACAGTTGTTAGCCGGGAGCGTCATCCCGGTTCATTTGATATCTGTCATATTAAGGATTCTCAGGGACATACATTTGCCACAAGGTATATTAAATATTTGTATTCTATTAATATTCATACATATATTCTATTTATATCTGTCTTGCACATTTTTTATTTTAAATTTTTACACGAAAAAGATTAAATTTCTTTTTATGATGGCCATAATAGAAGCTATAATACATTATAAAAAATATTGTAGTCAAAAGTTGGCCAAAATGAATTTCCTCCATATTTGGTCACTGATTGTTTTCACATAGACATGTTACATAGCATTACCCATTTAGGAAACATGAGTATTTTATATGTTGGCTAATTGTACCGGTTATTTAGGTTGAACAACGTATTTATCATTGGCAAAGGTACGAAGCCGTACATTAGCTTACCAAGAGACAAAGGTGTAAAGCTTTCTATTGCTGAGGAACGCGACAAGAGGTTAGCAGCAAAGGGAGTGAATTAATGTACAGAAAATGTTCAATAAACCGAGAATGATTTGGTGAATATAGATGTTCTTCATCTTTATCCCATATAATATTTACAAATAGTATTTTAGAACACATTAGAATAGCATGTGATTGTTCTTCATTAATCTCTCTCTTCCTCTCTGTTTCTACCACAATCATGTTTAAAACATCTTAAAACATATTCCGCTATTAAAAATACTGAGAAATATTTTTGGCTGTTAAAAATATGGTTCGGCTAAATATAGTGTTATAAAATCACGTAATTGGTCAAAGCATATTGTGCTGATTTGTTTAAATGATAAAAAGAAATATAAAGATAAAAGATGCGAGTATCCGTTGTTTATACTAAAGTTATTTCGATGGCAGCCAGATTTCAGTATTTAATTCTAATATTTTTCGTAACGTAGCATTATATTGTTCATCTCTATATTTTTCATTCTTCTTGTGGACTTCTTTGGCAGCTTTCAAGTATCTGTAAAGCAAGTTGATCGTGTATATTTTTTTCATATTTAAAATGATAAAAATTTATTGATATTGTTACTTTTGTATGGAAAGAACCACATTTCTGGTTTCCTTTTCTGCGATTTTTGTAGTGTCCGATAAAGATGATACGTAATCAACGGTGTTCTCAGATTTTATTCGCATCAGCGGATAAATGCGAACCCATCCTCCCTCCCTCGCACATGGTGTACTCCAATCTTTACCATTATCCCATATCGATGTTTTATTGTTGCTTTCTGGGTTATTACCCTGAAAACCTCGTGGAACGTACTTATCCACTAATAAGGGATTGTAACGAGACCACAAATTTGAAGAATTGTTGATAGTCGATTGTCTAAGCTGATGATTAAAATAAATATAAAATATAGTATTTCTGTCAATAGTTCAATATCTATCAATATTCCACTTTAGATGCATACGGTAGGCTGAAGTTCCGTGCATATGTTTAAAAAACCATCAGTTTCCCGATAAGTTCTCGATTTCTTTTTCACAGTTCGGTTTGTACAAAACTTGGAAGACTCTTCCGCCTCATCGTTAATCGAACTCGTTGACCATATTGTGAAAAGGGAGAGTCCAGTATTACATACTGGAAGACCTAATAAATCGAATAAATCGTGCAGCAGAGGTTTCTTCACTTCAGAGTCGATCTCGCAGTCATTACTTAGAGCCGGGCTAAGATTGACCTATCAAGATTGAAATATCAATTATCAGACAGTGGGAATAATTTTATTAACAGTTCAAACGAATAGGATGTCTGTTAACCTCCAGTAACCATGGTTTTAAATTTCTGTCGATTAATACGTCAAATCCGAAGAATTCGAAGCAATTGGAAGATTTTGGTATGCTCGCAGCTTGGCTCAGTATTGTTAAAGTAATTAAACAGGCTATCCGCTGCCAGAGAAACCAATCGTAGTATCCGGCTTGTTCGAAATATCTTCTCAATTGTCTAAAAGTCCATTTGCAACCTGTAAAATTCCGAATTATACTAGTTGTGATATAATTTACTAATTAACTTAACTAACGACTTTGGTGCTTTTATACCAGAACCGACGCGTTCCTTTTTCTCGGAATATCCTGGGCCCAATTTGTTCAACGAGAAGTTAGTGAGATGTCGGAAAGGATCGTTCAAATGCTCTAGTGAAAATTTTTCTGTAGCGAAACGTGCCAGTCCTTCCTTGTACAAATATATTGTCAAAGGGCGATACGATGGTACGCACACGTATAGTCGTAGATCGAATTTGTAACCACCGATTAGAAAGGGATTCTCAATATATCTTTGAACCACTGCGGCATTGTCGTATGTAAGATCGCTTAATTTCTGTAAACATTAGATTATGCATTTAACAAATTCATTGGAAGTTTTTTTTTTTTGTGTGTTCAAATCATTAATGTTCTTACACGAAACAAAAAGATTCCTTTTCCCTGACTTTGACCAGCTGGCTTACAGATCCAAACTCTATCATGCTCGCAACGGTTGCACTCTTCCGCTAATTTAGTATATTCCGAAGGCAAATTATATCCTACAGGACTAATGCGTCATATTTTTGACAACGATTGAACACGATTCTCACAATTTCTTCACTTCATATTCATAGATGATCATACCTGAAATCGTAGATCGACCCATGCATCTTCTTCATGCATCTAAGATGACGTATGAGATTGTCTTTCCTACAGATCGAACTCCCTTTCGGAATTCTGTTGATAAACTAAAATTTATGAGATTGAAAGCCGACGTTTCGCTTTGCAATTTTCAAATAGAAGATTTAGAACGCGTCATTACCTGCCACGGGAGTAATAGCTTGTAATGGGGTAAGGGGAAACCGCCGGACCGCCACCATAAATTCCATCGATCTTTGAATACATTATTTTCACCAGTATATTCCCTCCAGCCCCGTTCCGTACAAACCTGTGATCAAAGTATGCGATTCGCGTGTACATTCATTTGCCAACTTATTTACTGGCTAAAAGTTCATCCTTCTGATAACAGGAGATGACTCGTTCTAACGCGTGTCTCTCGAATGAATGGGACACGATAGATAAATATCTATTCAACTGGAATATTACGCATTCGGTAATTGGAAAACTTTTAGATATGCATGCAAAAATAGCAGCGAATGCCCTTGATTTATTTGTCGTGTTATTAGAGCATTAAGAATGATTACTTGCGATAGTCAAAAGCGAACCAAGGCCTCTAATTACAATTAAATTCGAGTATATCTCTTTTCACTATTACGGTAGCCTAGTTTTATTATTCTTTTCATACAACTTCAACATCGATTCGCCGCGGAAGGTCATCGACCACATTTGCACCCTGTTCTTATAACCCGAATTATTTCATTTCGTTTTAACAGCCTCACCTCCTCGCTCGTAATAATTGATAAATTAATTTTTACTTGACAAAGTGTTCACAGGAACATGATGCATGCTTATGACGAATGTTGCCGATAGAGGTTTAAAGCTGTTTCAAGCTACGTAATCCATGCTTTGCTGTTACGTTTAGATTATAAGGAAGGAAGAGGTGAATCGTCGTAATGGTATGCATGATCTAGTCTATTCTTTGCCTATTATTATTGCATGTCGCATTTAATAGCCGCGTTTCTAAAAATGGTGCACGCAAAAGCGCGTCGCATCTCGTTTGACTTTGCAAGTATGTACCGTGCATATGCACACTGTACGTACCTTGAAAAGTATTCAGTTCAAGGGCACGGCTAAGTTTGTAACCGTGTCGAACAAATTCCAAGCGACATAAAAGCGTGACGGAACGTATCCAACATTTATGTACCTACCGGTGTTACGTGTATTCATTGTATTTTAGATCTCGACTACCCACGCAATCATGACACACACTTTATTGAAACGCGACTCGCTCGATTTTCGTCTTTTCAATGAAGAGCGTCTAATATCCGTAGCGTTTGTGCTATCGGAAATAGCTAAAACCGATACAGAAGCGATACGTACCAATCGACGTACCAATTCTAAGGATATTAATACCTGTATAAGAAGATGCGGTCCTGAACCATTGTCGTTGAGCCTGAATATAAAAGGACCATCCAAGTATTTCACTGCCATATCGGAACATTATATTTTGGAAGACCGCGCGAGAACAACAACCGCGATTAACAGCATCACAACCTTAGTGTAATCAACCTTCTCCCTCGCAACAAACAGTGATTATTTTATCTCTCTGGTTATGCAAAAACAACGGAAAGAAGTTAACAAAGTGTGAAGTTATGCTTTTCTTGTAAAAGCTCTCAAGAATTACCGGTTTCCAGTCATTCTTGTATCAAGTATCAGTGTCAAGCAAACTGGAAAAGTCGCCGGTAACACAAAGTTCAAGAAATTCAAGATATCTTGTCATACCTCGCACTTTTCATTCACAAAACGTCAACGCGTAGCTCACAATTTCAAAAAATCGTTCGATTTATAAGACATTCTCCATTGTCTGTCGTTCTTTTGTTTTCATCCAGAAAAGTGTTCCCTAACGAATAGAACGAGTTATTCTTCGAAACATGACATTCCCTTATCGTCGATTAACGTTTGGTGTTTAAATATTTCTATGGTACCGCGTGTAATCCAGCCGGAATCTCGATTCTCACTGATGCACCGCCACGTTTCGGTCTACGCAATCGCTTTGACCCGGTCGCAGGTGCGCAGGTTGCTCGTATGCCGCCTTCCACGTTGCTTTCCAGCTTTTATGGGCTCTTGCTGGACACTGCAACCACGCGAGGACACCGGAAGTCTCATTGGTCGCGAGCTCCCGAAAGAATTATACCGAGATCCGGTTTAAGCGTACTGCGACTTTTCAACAGACCTATTCAAGTCAAGATTTGTACTTATAACTATAAGAAACAGCCACATTGTAGTAATGCATAAAAACTTGCAGTAATGCACATCATTGCAGCGATAACACGTTCTTTCTACCTCGTGCCAAAAACTTTAGATCTGCATTCTCTATTTATGCGTACCTGAAATATTTGTGGGAAAAAATCGAAAGATACATGTACGGTGTTCCTTGCGATTTACGTTTGCGGATACGCTGATGAGAATACAGTCATTGAAGTACACGATTGATAGACGTGTCACTTGCAAAAAGATTCACCGGAAAAATGTTTCGCGTGTCTGGCTTCGTAGGTAGGAGGTACTGCAAGGTTACTTTAACGATAAATCGATGAAACGTCCCTTACAGGGAACTACTTCCTGGTTGGACAGACGAAATGGTTAAGTTTATGACCGAAACGTATCTCTGATTGTCGTTGCACTCCCTCGGTGTTCCTTCTCTCTCAACTTAATCGTAATTTATGACGTGAACGTTTTCTGTAATATTGAAATGTTTTTTTGTTTCTTCCAACTCGAGTTCCACGGCTATCTTAGCTCTGCCCGTTGAGATCTTTGTTTCTTCCTTCTCGGAGAGATAATGGGTGTGAAGAAATAATTAGGCAGTGATATACACGAACATTTTAGTTTATTGTAAGCAACACGTAACACGGATACAGAAGCTCGTGCGATATTCAGCCAGTAGTCGATCTGATTAATATTAATTTCTAATTATAAATCGCGTTCCGATATTGCATCGATCTCGAATGCTAGATCAAATCAATTCCTCGACATCATTCACGCACCTCGACACACCAAATTACGCAATCATTGTCCTTCGATTAGCGAGTTTTGCTATCTAATCGTATTTTATCGTAGCTACTACACGACACGAGCTTGCAATAATGGCACAGAAATCGGTAACCTTTTTCTAAAATTACACGGCGATTGCTATCAAGTGCAAGTTTCTCGATCCCCGAAACTAGTTCCCTCACCATGTTTCGCTTTTAGTAGTATTACCCTGAAAGCCAGGCACCTTAAATCAATTCAAGCACACTGGCGAGCGTGTTTCCGTCGTACGTGACTGTTTATTCAATTTTACCTCAAGCTTTCCAAACGTTTGATCATGCTAAAAATGAAGACTACGTTCTCGGTAAAATGGTCGCTCGGCTAAATGATTGGAAGAAGATTCTGTTATTACGCTCGTTTCTCGACCGCCTGATTTCAGGGTAGGAGATTGGGTTCCGCCGGATGATTTACGACGAGATTCGCATGTACGAAGATATTTAGCTAAATGTGCTCTTCGATCTGACATGGGTAACAAGTGTCACTGGCAAACTCTCAGTTGAACTGATCATCCACGCGCGTGCAACACAATATATATATATATATATATATATTCGTTGCTTTCTCACAATGCACCATCAGCATTCAGATATTCGCGAACGAACAGATCTTGGATTTCGAACTTCTCTGGCATTGAGATTCGTCAATCGATTGTACAAGTCAGAGAGATTTCTCTTTGTTGGGAAACCTCAGGTATAGAAAGACAAGTGTCTTTCTAGCCTTCGTCTTTCATCGCTCGCGATTAGATCCAAGAGGTTTGCGTCAAAATCCAGTCCTGCCCGAATCAACGAACAAGCAGACCGACATTTTCGTGTTGGATACACCCTGGTAATGCGAAATATGTGATAATGCCAGTAATACTAATTGCTTGGATGACCTTTGCGTGATTCGACCACGGAGACTATGTCGGCGCGTTTATTGTATCGTTGCAGAATTTTCTGCGGCAACGATTTTATACGAGGTATTCGAGACCCGTCCGCCACGGATATACGATTACTCGTCGCAGCCATTAAAAGTGGAATCGCGCAAGCAGACGGAGGTTTGCGTCTCATCGATATTTTATGGCTGCTTAATCCACCAATTAGTCGTGGAATGTCGAGGCAGTAAAACTCGAGGAATTTTGTGCCGATGCAATGGCTTCTTAGATAGTTCTTCTTAACTTCTTTCGATCAAATGACAACTTAGTTTGGAGAAGTGTCGCTGGCATGAATTATATGAATGTATTTCACTTCTCTCTCTCTTTCTCTTTCTCTCCCGTTAGAATTAATTACGGTAGCAGCCTATATAAAATCGATGTTCGGCTTTAGTTCGTTACCGAGTTCGCGATTACTCGCATCACGTGGGTGCGACTTCATGGCGTATGGATAATCGTCGACATGATTCCGGGATATATAGTTGTCATTTTGGGCGAACGTGGTTGAGTAGTTGCCGTAGTATAATTACTTAGTTACGTAGTTACGTGGGCGCTTGGTAAATGGTATTAACGTTAAGCGAGCACGAGCGCGGCCGATCACGGAAATTCGAGAAACGTGATCGTCTTGGGAGCGCGATCCCCGAAGTACGAAGGACACTCTTTCTAATTTTCGATCGACTTTGCCGACTTCAAGGTATCTCTGCCTTCAAGCAGAGAGAGGAAGGTATTTAAATATCAAGGAAGTTACAATTAATCGATACAATTAGTTTCGCATTCAATTAACGTATTTCGTTCGTAAAATAAATATATTCGCAAATCGTCCTACGGTTATAACAGCCGGTGTTCTCAACACCGACTCGCTGGGTTAGTTGTCGTCGACCGAAAACATACGTATAACAAGAACAAGAAGTAATTTCACGGTAAAATACAATTTACGCAGAAAGGATTCGTGCTCGTAGAGTTGAGATACGCGTTTTCATCGCAATGTTTCTCCGCTTTTCCTATTTTTTTTCCTTTTTCTTTTTTTTTTCTTCTTTCTTTCGAACAACTCCCTTTCCCCTTTATTCCCCCCCCCCTCCCTCGCCCCTTTTTCCATGCGTTAGAATGCAACGAATTCAGGTTTTTAACGCGCATGATTTTTACAGAATGGACGACCGCCTTTCGCGTAGAAACTTTGGCCCTCGAGATTCTTCTTGCACATCTGCAACATACATACACCATCACAAACAGTGACGATTAAAATACGCTTCTTTGGATATCTCCGCGAGAGATCGATCGGTTTATTTCGAGAAACATTCTTGGACTAATTGCGTACCGTGCAGTTGAAACACTGGCTGTGGTAATTATTGTTCAGGGCCTCCACCCAGCGATCTCCAGCTTCGACTGGGAATCCACACGCGAAACATTTCGTCGTGAACAACTCGTTCCAATCTGCGAAAGTAACAATCGGTGAAATGGAATTCAACTTTCCACGCGTTTCTCTTCGGCCCTTCAAGCCGAATTATGAACGAATTGAACCAACCTGCTTCGCAGTAGGGCAATCCCTCTTCGAGGAAGAACGGGCTGTTGCCGAATAATTTGCCGCAATAGGAACATTTGAAGCATTCAGGGTGGAAATGCTTTCCAATCGCGTTCAGACAATCCTGCGTTTAGAGTCATCGATGAACTGACGAAGTTTCTAGGATAGCATTTTCGCTTTGAGAGAGAAAACTTACGCCTTTGATCTTGTTGTTGCATTTGTTGCAAGACGGAGCGATGAAACGTTCGAAGCAGTACTCGCAGTAGAGTTGTCCCTTTTCTTCTACGAATCCAATGTCTTGAAGAGGCCGGCGACACTGCGTGTTCACGCACACGAAGTGATCGGGGCACCAGATTTGTCCCAAAGCGGTGATGAACGGCCCCCTAAATCGTCGCGGCGATTAACGAGAATTTTTCAAGCGGTTCAAGCTGGTACTTCGATGCGAAGTAAAAGAAGCAAGACTTAGCACAGCAAAAGTAACGAACCTTATGCACTCTTTGTCGTTTTTACAGCACATTGGTTTTATGACGAGACCGTTTGACTTGTGATTAGTATTCTCTTCGTTAGCTGTTAACATCGTGCAAACAAGTTTAACATTGTTAATCACGTCAGAACAGGATAACGAGTTCAAGTTACTATTATTATTGTCAAAGTAAAAAAACTTCGTCAAACGATATACTCTTAAATGATACGTTTTTTTATCTACAGTAAGCAACTTGCAAAAGAAAAAAAAAATATATATATATATACACATATTTAGTACAAACGAAAACAGACTAGGAAATCATTGCCGATTCTTTAATCTGGCAGTATCTCCTGAGAGAAAAAGTTTTCACACGATATACAGAGATGTGCCCAAACTCCGTTCAACAAAAGTATTTAAAAAACACCATCGGTCCCTTCCCAAGCGCATGTCGATGGATCGATGGATCGACACGAAGAGCTAAAAAAAAGCGACTCAGTCGTCATCGTTCGACGACGGAGGACAGAAACTACCAAAAAAAAAAAAAAAAGATGGGGATGCGGCAAACAGTGAAAAAAGAAAAAAAAAACAAAACAACAAACACGGCACACCTGACAGCAAAGGAGGAGTACCTGACATAAGAGTTGCAATGGGCGCAGAGGGGCAATCGTGATCCCGGTCCGCTTGCTTGATTTAGGATTCCCCTTCCTCGCTTTGGCGCGCTGCTACCAGCGAAAGTTCCGCTCTTCGACCCGGCACCACCGAGACCACCGACTCCGGTACCTAGATCCGGGTGGGATGACAAATTTGGTGGGTCTACTAAACTCTGGGTATTGCTAGAGGGTTCACAATGGATACCGTCCTGACAGTAATTTTGGGTTCCACATTGATTTCCGGTTTGGCAACGGGTGTTAATCGAACATTGACCACCAGACTGGCGACTGGTCTCAGTGGAGCGACAGTAGCTTTGGGTTTTGCAGCAGTAGCTCTTAGTCTCGCAGCTTTGGCTTTGCTCTTGGCTTTGAGCTTGGGGCTTGTACAACTGCACTGTGGGAACGTTCTGGCTTGTTCTAGTTTTGGCAGTCAGTCGCGCGAGCTGCCCACTCAGGTTAGTGCGAGGCTTGTGGATAGGCTCGAAGGAGTTTTTACTTTGAGAGCAGGGTACGGGAGCGTCCTCGTCTGGTAAAGGGATCTGAGGGAAGGGGAGCTTTGCCCTCGAAGGAGGCACGCCAGGCTTGGAGCACGGCGCCACGCAAACGGATCCATCGGGGCACGGTGACACGCAGACACCGCTCTCCGGACAGTTTCTCGGGACGTTGAAGTCGCAGGAAGATTCTCGACCACACTGACCGGACGGCTGGCCACAGGTCCCGCCGAAGCAAGGCGAGACGCATACTCCGGAGCGATCGGGAGTTGGTATCACGCATACGCCTGACTTTTGGCAACAGATATTCGGCCCTTCGCATGGTACCACCACCACGCCTGCTTTGGTACCTTGATCAGACTGTGCTTTGCACGGCAGCACCGTTACGCCGGTATCTGGACAGGGTTTCGATGGCGGAGTTCCGTAACTAACGTGACGCACTTCCGTCGAGCTGCTATAAATTGGCTGAGCGGGAGAGCTCGCACCCGTTTGCGAGGACATGGGGCAAGGCAACGAAGGTTGAGAAGGACTTGTTCTACCAATGGCACACGCGCCCTTGGGTGGTTTCTCCCGTGGTTTCTCTGTTCTTTCCGGCAACGGTCGAGTTGGAATTCTCTTCTCGCACCTTTCGAAGTCTTCGGTAACTTCGAGCGATCTTCTCGTCACCGACTTCTTCTCTTCGCTCGTTTCTTCGCTGGTCATGTATCGTTTCTCTTGGTAAGCAGCGTGAACCGCATCCGTCGGCTCTTTGCCCGGATCGTCGGTACGTTTCTCGTCAAAATCGACGGTTTTCGATGCGGCATACTCGGCGTGCCTGTGCCCGTCGTCGGTGTCTTCGTCCACTTTGTAAGAAACGGTCTTTTTAGTAGGGAAGTGCATGGAACTTCGCTTCATAGGTGGAGGAGGATCTTCTCTGATTCTCGGCGCCTGGGCCTTCACGTAGCAGGAAGGCGGTTCCGGCGGCCCGTAAGCCGGTGATTTACACCTTCCCGGTGTTGGAGTCGGAGTCCTGTTCGGTTCGTACGTGTGAGTTTCGACCGCACCCTTTCTCGTAGCCACTAGATTTCTTTGATACAAGGGAATGGTGTCTGGTTTCTTCAGAGGTGCAGTTACACCTTTGCTGCACGGCGTCTGAGGCCGCGCGGACACGGAAATGTCTCTCAGACGAAAATCAGGCGGTGGAGTAGGCAAAGGTCGAGGAGTGGATGGTTTGGGAGGAGGAGGAGTCCGAGCGCTTCTTCCCTCGCCGAACAGAATGTCAGCAGGGGGACAGTGAGCACTTCCGTCTCCTGTAATCACGGGTGTCTGGGAACGACTCGCGATTTTCTGATCCTCGGGTCCGATCTCGCGACTGAGAGGCGTGTAGGGACGTTCCGGGGCGATCGTGAGTGCCTCCTGAAACGGAGAAATTGGTCGGAGATCTTGAGGCGGTGGTTTAGGTCGACACCTACGATCCAAGTATATAGTCTCTTCCGTGAATACTTCCTTCACGCTGGAAGACGTACTGAGAGGCGTGTAGGGTCGATCGGGCGCGGTTGTCAAAGCGTTCACCATTTCGGACTTCCACTCTTTAGGCGTGGCGTTCTGAAGAGCAGAATGAGGTATTGGTTTCGGCCCTGTATCAGTCTGCTTCATAAACTGCACGCGTTTTTTATTGCTCTCCATAATCTCCTGGGCCGGAGGATACTTGGAGCATACGCGTCGATCCTTCGGTGCCTGTTGATCCCTCAAGCTTTTATGGACCTCCACTTGTTCCCTTAAACTCTTTTTGCGTTCATCCTCGATGCATTTCCTTTTAACGCGTTCTTGAACCAGCACCTCTTCCGTGATCTCTTCGTAAGTCTCCTTGATGAGCTTCGTACGTCCAGGAGTGTCGCTCTCAGCTTCCGTCACTCGTTCCTCGCGTACCACCGTCCTTCCCAGAGGTTGTTCTCGAACTTCCTCCACTTCCTCTTCTTCCTCGAAAGTCACGTGTCTGCTTTGCTCCTCTTCCTCCTGTCTTCTTCGCTCCTCTTCCTCGAGTCGCTTTCTCCACCGTTCCTCCTCCTCCCGCCTCTTTCTTTCTTCCTCTTCCTGCTTTCGTTTTTCTTCCTCCTCCTCCTCTCGCTTTCTCTCCTCCTCCTCCTGTTTCGCTTTCTCTATCAGCTGTTGCACATCCACAGCAGAGGTTACCACCTCGGCAGACTCGACTACCGTTTTCTCTTCGGACTGCTCTTTTTCCACCTTTGTCGTCGTTCTCCTCATACAAACTTCCTCTTCCCTTTCCACCGTTTCCTCTGCCGTCGTTTCCTCTCTAGATTCTTCCACCGCTGGGGTACTAGGTCGTACCGGCGACGGCTCGACAGTTTTCTCCAGAGTCATTTTCGTCCTCACGTGCATTCCATCGATGTCCTCTTCGGACGTCTCCGTTATGAAGTCATGCTCTCCTTTGATCCCATCGCCATCTTCGTCCTCGAGATCATCGGCCGGTCTCAGGTCTATCACTTGCTTGTCGATCTCCGTCGTCTCCTCTCTCGTTTCATCCTGCTTCGTCACTTGTTGAGTCGGCAGCGGTGGCTTCTGGCTGATGGTCTGTTCTCGTCTGCAAAACTCCGATCGATACGTACGATGCTCCTCGCGGAAAGGCTGATTCCTCTCGCATATTCGTTCCCTCTGACAGATCTCCTTCTGATGGAACTTCTTGCACACTTTGGGTGGCTCGACACCGACGTAACTCTGTTCGTAAAGATTGCTGCCCGTGGTGACGGTGGCTGTCCATGGTTTCGGCACCGGTTGAACGATCCTCGTCGGCGTCAAAGATCTCCTGACGCTTTCGGCCGAGCTGGCTCTCGACGGCACCTCGGTTCTCGACTGTCTGCTGGTAGTCTCCACCAGCTCGACCTTTCTGTAAACCGGGCCTGGACAACTGACGCGATCCATCGGGTCCTCCTCAAACCGATAGCACTGTCTGGTGACTTTCTCCACCTCCCGGTCTGTGCTCTCGCCTCTCTTCTGCCCTCTCGTCAGGGCTTTCTCGCAAGCCTCGATGCAGGCTTTCTTCTCTTTCACCGCTTGTCTGCTTCTCCGATCGAGGGCAGGATTCGGATCGATGTACAAGGGGCTGGCAGTGGGATAAGTGATATCCTCGATGGGCTTCGGAGGTGGCCAGGCGAGGCTTTTCGACTTTACAGAGCTGGGACGGTAATCGGTTTTCGTGTTCTCGACAATCTCGTAATAGTAGGACTTTTCGTAGGTTTCCGTCGAGTTTTCTAGGGTCGTGGTGTTTCGAGGAAGTGAAGAAAGGGGTCGGGGTGTCGGGAAGTCGGAATTTTGCAGAAGTCGGAAGCGGGCGGAACGGAAATCAGATTGCGACGAGGCACACGAAACGTTTAACACACACGCGTTTGAATAACACAGGCGAGATTGGTTGGAGCGTCGGAGGTGTGTTAGAAAGAACGAAAGAAAAACAAAGAAATCAGCTGTGAGTAAGAAGCACGTTGACCGACACGTGCCCGTGATCCCTTTATCTTAAATTCATATTGTTAATGCTCGAACGAATGCTAACGAGCTACTGGATCGCGGGCACGTGCAGGATGCTAAATAAAAAGAAGCGCAACTTAATAATGAAAAAGAAGAAGAAAAAAAAAGAAATGATAGCAAACGATAACCAGAATAACGAAGGTGTACGTTGCTTCGTGATCGGCTGGCTACGTTTGTACGATGAGCAAAAAAAAAAAAAAGGAAAAGAAAAACAAACCAAAGCTTTGGCGACTAAAGCGATTGATCAGCGCGTTAATTGTCAAGCTATCGAGTGAGCAGTCGCACTTCTCCAAAATCGTTCGGCAGTCGACACACTCTGTGTTGTCACTGAACAATCTACAGATTCCAAGATCAATCGCGTCTCTAGACGATCGTGAGACAAAAAAAAAAATAAATAAATAAAGGGAACACGAAAATTTCGAGTGCATCTCGGAGGAGTCGATGCGAAGCCAGGTAGAGAATGTAAGTTAATCAACGATACTTTGAAGGATCTTGAAGATGTATGTACGTCTCACGTCTTATATATATATGTATATATAAATATATACGTAACAAGAAATGGAATGAGGAGGCAACATGTATTGAGCGAGAAGAGTTTGTTCGGCTTAACCATCGTTTTATTTCGCAGTAAGTTCTCAACACTTTACGAGAAAGAAATCATTTGTCAACAATGACGCACGATTCGAGCCACGATCTTCTTGATGTCGAAATCACCGATTCTTTCGATCGATAGCGAAGAGAAAATCGGGCAAATCGGGGAAACGGCCAAGGAGCTTTCAAGTTCCGTTTCGAATCGCTGTGTTCGAGATTGAAGAAGAATCGTGAGCCTCGAATATATAAATAATCATTGCATTGAATTCGATCTCGGCTGTCAGCACGAAGACGACGACGGCGTAGCTGAGAGCTACCGACTCATGCGAATGTGAGGGAGAAAGGTCTGGGTTTCGGGTTGAAAGATGGACCGGCTGAAAAAAGATAAGAAAAGAAAAAATTATGCCTGGAGGACTATAAACGATGCGTTTTCGACTTTTTATCCGATTCCCGATTTTGCAAACCGTTCCGTTTCGCTCGTGTATGTACGCGTGTATAAAACTTCTTCGCGTGTATGAGCAATGTAAGAAAAAAAAAGAAGAAAAAAGAAAAAGAAGCACGTATATACAGGAGACATCGACAAGGAAAAAAAAAGCAGCACGTAGACATCTCTATTTGAAGTTTGTTCACCGTTACATAAGCTCGTTCTATCGAAACAGACTTGACTCATTTGTACGCTATTCAGGTCTCGATTCAGTCGTCCCAGTTTCGTTTCGATCGGTCTGCATCATCGTTGCTCCATAGATCCACTCATAGCCCAATCGATCGAAGCCCAAATAAATGTGTTACCTCGATAGTGATAATGATAAACGATGACGACGATGTCGAGAATGTCGTAATGTAGAATGAAACGTCGCAGCTCTCAGGGTTCGTCGTCGCCGTCGCGAGAACGACGAGCGGATGAAAGCGGAGTTAGATAGAGAGCTTGCAAACGACAAAAAAAGAAAAAAAAAAGAACTCACGAAAATCGGTTGCGGGAATCGGCTCGAATGATCGAATGAATGAGCGGAGTTGCGAGTGGACAGAGAGAGAGAGAGAGAGAGAGAGAGAAAGAGAGAGAGAGAGAAAGATAATGCGAGGGACGCAAGCCAAATGGGGCGTATTAGCCAAAGTATTAGCTAGAAACTCGGCCAGAGGATTTGGATCAAATCAACCGTATCTCTGAAGGGCGTATTTTTTGGCTTTGGCGGTACCGAGAAGAGACCTATTTGCAACAATCGAAGACAATGCGAGGCCAAGGATAATAGGCGGGTGCCGCCATTAGAATTACACCGGATCGACCAGAGATCGTTCCTCCAGATACCAGAAACAGGAAAGTCGAGCTTGTCATCGGTAATTTATACGACCGCAATTTCCGCTTTTGTTTCCTGCCACGTTGACATGACTGTCTTGGCGTGCCTGTCGTAATTATCGTTAGAATGCGCGGCGTCGCGACGCGGAATTTCATGCACGTCAAGACGATCGAGACGAAAAAGCAGAGGTACTCGGAAGTCGTGCATCCATCGAGCAAGAGTGAATTCAACTTTTATCACCCGTGAATTCGTCGTTTTTCCCCCCAAGTTTTCCCTTTTGCCGTTTCAAACGCCGTTGCATAATGCGATCGTCGAATTATGTAATGACAAGCCGTACAAGATGGAAGAACGATTTCACGCACGTCTCGACGACGATATCGACGACGACCAAGAAATTGACTTTTCATCGTTAGATCGGCGAATCTAGAGCCGCGGCGTGTTACAAAGGAAGGAACTTACCGGTCACAGTCTGACTCTGTGGTCGAGGTAGAGTGCTGTTTCCCGAGTTCAGCAACGGCGGCGATGACACGGTCGATCCTCCGAAAGGTTTAGGACCAATTAAGTTGTTCGACGTTGGAGCCTGCGTGATAAAAGATACTCGATTATTATATTTTAATTCTTCGTTCGTTCGGAGTAAAGTGATATTGGTTAACACGGTCGGACGATCGATAGTAAGTAATAAATGCACAATGACAGTTTGCCTTTCAACTTTACAACAATACAGATATGTATGGTGTAATTTCATTAGAACGTGGGATTAACGAGTCGTGACAAACAACATGACAAATGCGATTAGTATCAGAAACGAACGACGAAACACTGGTGAATTACACATTCGCCGCTGCCTTGAGCTCACGTTGCATCGACACAGAAAAGAAAAAAATAAAAAAAAGAAAGAAAGAAAAAAGGTACGCCGATCTTATTGCGATCGCGACAGGGCTAAATTTTCTCGCGCACCAACCGTCACGAACTAAAGTTGTACGAATTCAAGCACAGGCGATATATTCTCCATGCTCTCGAGTCACACAGCAAGGGGGCATTTTCGTTTCGAGCGCTTTGTTTTTTTTTTTTCTTTTCTCTCTTTTCTCTCGGTTAAACGCGACGTACTTCTCTGGAGAACATATCTGGTATTCAAAGCAGCGGCACCGCGGTCGGCGTGATTTTCATCGGTTCGCTAAGGACGTACCTTACCAAGCGTAAGGTTTCGAGTGTGAGACGCTTAAGGCGAGCCGCGTTCGGATATTACCTGGACTGATCGGAAACTGGGTGGATCGACGGGCGACGTGCCAAGACGGGTGGGCTGCAATACATAAAACGACATAGAACGATGTCACGTGGATGAAGTGGCAAATTAAAAAAAAAGGGGGGGGGGAGGGCAAAGACGGGGCAACACGCACACTCGTAATCGCGCCAGGCTAATTAGTCACAGCTTCGAAATAATCGTCGACGACGCGCAAACGATCGAAAATTCGTCGGTTGACAAGCCTATTCTCGAGTCTGTTGTTGAGGAAGTTCGCGGATTAGAAGGACGAACAGGTCGAATATCGCAACGATAATTGTCACTTGACGTATGTCTTTCTTCGTCTGTCGTACTTCGATCGTCCCCATCTTTCACCGCGTTTTTATTTCTATCGCGCGTTCCATTCAACGCGCTTGATTCAGCGCGTATTTTAAACTTTACTGTTTACTTTCAAATACAACTCATTGCCAGAGTCGGGTGTTTCGGACGATGGGGGATCTTCGAAGTCGACAGAACATCGACGAAGCTTAAAGATTGTCAACTCGATGATTTATCATCGCGTTCGCATTGGAGAACGTTTGAGTAACACATCGGGCAATTGTCGGAGGGCGGTGTTGAACGACAGTTTTTCACAGTCGGGTAAATATTTCACCGGTATTTGCGAACCTCTGTGCAACCGGTCTGAATGGTGATCGTGCTCGTAAACGTTTTCGATTCCCAGTGGCAGTTGCCGTTGGTGATGCATCCGTTCCTATTCGGCGACGATAGCTGAGAGTTCGGGGATCCGTAATCGGGGCTCGAGCGATTGTAAGCCTGGAAAAGCGATTAGTGCCGAGCAAACGCCACACGAGCTAGTTAAGTCTTAACTATTATTTTTTCAATTCCAAACACTTTGGACACTTTCAACGAGATTAATTCGTCCAATCAAAATCAAATCAAATTTGCACCACAGTGGAGAACGAGCAAATGCCAAAGTGCGTCATCAGGCAAGTTTCGAAGCGGTCAAACGATTAAATTCGATGCCATTTGCGAGCGCGAAGCAATAACTGGATGCAAAATGGATCATGAAATCTATAAGTTTCAGCGTGTTAAACGAGGAATACTCACAGAGAATGGCTGAGGCGACGACGTATGATTGCTCAGTGGAGGAGACAACGGCGCGTTCGCGAGCGCAGCGGAAATCGTGCTCGCAGGAGCCTTTCCGCCTCTGTGGCATTTAATCAGCGTTTTATTTACACTCCATTTTCGCACGTATCTCCTTTATAATTCTATCGTATCTTTGTGACGTAACACTTACGGCGGTATGGTTATTGGAACCAAGCCAGCTGGTGCGTTCTGTCTGGCGACTAATTTCGCGTGAATGTCGCAATACAATTTATTGTTGATATTGTAATAGCCGACATTTTTCAGGGAAGTGCCGCAGGTGGAACACTTGAAACACTCTACGTGCAGATTTTTGTCCTTGATCCTTACGAAGACGCCTCTGCGGAAAGGAACGTTCGATTAAAGGACGTGCGTTTGATCGTTTTAACAAGCGTCAGTTGTTTCGTCTAAATATTGAAAGAAAAAAAAAAAGAGAAAAAAGAGAGAGAGAGAGAGAGAGAGAGAGAGAGGGACTCGATGCCTCGACGAGGGAGGCTGAGAACACAGGGATCATTACGTTATATTCGTTCGTGTATACTGCCCAGTTCGTGGCTGGTGATGACATATTAGGTGAAGTGAGTCTTGAGTTAATTCTCATGGTACGTATCGTTTTCATATTCTTTGAGGAGGAAATGTAGTAAAATTTAATAAAAGGAAACTGTGTAAAATATTTAAAAGCACGTGTGCGTATTTAACCGTGAAACGAGAAAGGACGTGTTGTGTAAAATTTTTCATGGCACGTGTACAAAAATTAAATGTTCGGTTTCTTAAAAACGAAAGAGAGATTCAAAATGTTGGTAAAAAGATGTATTCACAAAAAGAGATACTGAAAAAACGTACAAAAAAACACAACATTGGTACAAAAAGAAAAAAAAAACACGTTCAAAAAAACAAAAAAAAGGTCACAACATCGAAAGCATAGTTTACGCCATCCTGGTGATCACGTAACCAGAATAACACAAAAGAACGCTGATGACACGTTTGAAGATGGTGCGGTGAATGTCGAAGAATGATCACAGACGTGAATCTTGCTAATTAATTCCCATGAAAATTAAGCGAGGAAAAGCTCTTACAGTGGCGAATGATTTTTCACACTCTCCTGCCAACGTGATGAGAACCATGAAATTGAAAGATTCCTTTCTCGAAGGGGATGATAACTAACGACAGAGGCGACAGAGAAAGAGAGAAAGAGTGAAAGAGAGAAATTCTGTGCTTCCATTCAAAAAAACAGCAAAGCGTGCACGTGTAAAAAAAAAAACACCAATATCACCGATCATCGATTCACGACCGATAGATGAGAGGAGAAAAAACGCACGCCCTCACGCCTTCAGTCAAAAAGCATTTCGAGATGGTACCAGCGTACGGACAATATCGAGCAAAATCCAGACGGTCACAGTTCTGCGTACTCTTTTCCCCGTCAAGATCCGTCACGTTAGGAACGAGAGTCACGATTCCTGATCAAACGCTGAAAAATCAAAAAACAAAAAACAAAAAAAAAAGAAAGCAAAAAGATCCTAATACGAAAAACTTGAATCATCGTGTAAAGAAGATCGACTTCTCTCTCGGAATCGCGAACTCGTTCCTACCCACACACGTGACATTGTTCGTCTACGGTATGAAGACACATAGTAGAAGCGACATAATATCGTCGAGAAGCGGAAATTCTCCGGTCGGTTCCGACCGTGCAAGGGAAGAGAGGAGGATTTTCACGTAAATATGTAGTTACACGATCACTCGGTCGCAGTTGCTACAACGAACGCCCGACGACGCCGGGGAGGAAGAAGAGGACTCCTGCCGCTGCGCTGGACGTTTCGACGACGGACATTCATTGGAATTGAAGGCCGGACTACCGTGCAGAGCATGAAACAGAGGCGTGGGTGATCTCGGCGAAGTAGCCCTTCCGCCAACAGCATGGCTCACCGACGAGTAAAACTCTGTTCTCGAAGGAACTACGACATGGAAGTAGAGAAACCGTACTGTGACTCGACCAATACGAGAAATGCTCCGTCAAATAGCTCCGGAAAAAACAACGAGCAAACGAACTGTTCACCGTAAGGAACGTTCCCTTTCATCTCTTGTCCTCCACGTGTGCACCAACTTCCAAGTCGCGTCGGATCCCTCTGACGTACATACATACGTGATTCTTCGTGTAATTTTACGCGCTATCTTCGATTTCGTCGCAGTTAGAAATTGAAGCTCGAGAATTATCCGTCAGAGAGTCCGACTCGACGTTAGAAATTGAAACGTAAGCGCGCCGAATCTCTCGAAAGATTTATGTCCTATTTTCCTTTCTCGTTCTCGAGGGCCTCCGCTCTGAAAGAAAGAAAGTAACGACCGAGAGGGACACGGATGCGCCTCGGCGTCAACTTACACGATGAGCCTCTCGCATTCGGCACAAATGTTCTGTCCAGGTGGAAGGCTTGACTGCGGCGTGGACGGTTGCTGCTGCTTGGTTTCCGGTGCCGAGACTGGCCTCAGTCCTGCCAGAGCCGGTGAAGACGGCGTAATCACGCCGCTCTGCGCAGTTGGCTCCGCTATTTCGCAAAGAAGTTATCGTACCGGCATGCACCAGGCTAACTGGAGCCAGTTGATCCAATCGAAAAATCACTGGAGAGAGAGAGAGAGAGAGAGAGAGAGAGAGAGAGCCTTCGATGCATGTTACGCTCCTTTTAAGAAAACGTTTCGTTCCACGTTTTGCGCTCGACTACCGTTAACCTCGTTTATTAATCACTCTCCAGAGATTTTTCTTCGTTCCGTTTCGCGTAAAAAACCGCGTTGCACTATTAATTAATGACAAGACAGACAATAGACAATAGACAATAGACAGTAACTGGAATTCGTTCGCGGCAATTCGCGAAAACTCGACAGATAATATAACGGACGTGTCGATGCTTCTCATTCTCGTTGGAAGCTAAAATTGGAATTCCGTTTGGTGTTTCTAAACGCGTTAGTCTCAACTACTAACCAGGCTCCGGCGTCTTTGGCTCTTTGTCCGCTTCCTGGACCATCTTGAACACCTCGCTGTTCTCCGCGTTGTAGTTCTTCTCGTTCTTTTTGAAGTTCACCCTGCAAGCACAACCGCGGCCGTGTTACCGCGACCAAAACGAAAACCTCTCCGAACATTCTAACTTGCAACAGTCACGCCTTTATCTTGCGAAGAATGCTTACCCGAGCACGCCACCGGCCAGAACTTCCGCTTGCGCGGAAAGAGTCTCCGCGATAGTCTCCTCGCTGTAGATGCCCACCGGGCTGTTGTATTGTTTGTTAACGATGGACTTGATCGAACCGTCTCCCGTTCCATTGAGCTGCAATGAGACGCTCGTTAGTACAACGTTCGTTGCTGCTGGGAAATTTGGCGAAAGAGGTCGAGGTCTCGACAAATTGATACCAACGAATGGCTTTGGGCTGAAATTGTGGCCACTTCCGATGTGCGGCCCATCCTTCTTGTTGGCCGCCAACGATGTTTTCGTAACTGGAGCGATATTGCCGAGCCCGCCGGTAGGCGATGGCGACGGCAGGCTCGAACTTAGCGGAGTTACGTGCGGTTTCCAAGTGCCGCTACCTCTGTGAACGACAATAACGAAGGTGAACTTAACGTAACGTGACCAACCCAGTTCACCGAGCTGACAAAACGTTCCCGAGTTGGCGGCCGTGCCTGTCGCTACCTCTGTACTGTCAACTCGAAGTTGTTCCCAGCCCTCACGATAACGTCCTGCGCGTCCTTGTGCCTGAGATTGTACACCTCCGTGTTATTGACCCTGATAACTGCATCGCCGGCCCTCAGGCCAGCCGCTTCCGCCGGCGATCCGTTATTAACCTGCAATGAAAAATGTCCGCTTGAACAAACGAACGCCCGGACGCCGAGCAATTCTAAAAATGGGTTGCTTCGAATCTATCATCGATACGCGTCTATTTTTACGGGACGCAACAGTCGTCTCTCTTCTCCAGAGGAAAGTCAGAAGACATCAGTCAGCACGCGAGGACGTTCGAAAAAAGAAAAGGAAATTTCGCTAGAAGGGCAGAGACTTCGAAGATGAAGCAGAAGGAAGTCTTACTGAAGTCGTTTTCTGCTCGGTCTAAGATCTTGCGGATCTGTTCACGCGTTATCGAAGAAATCGCGAGAGCACGCTTTCGAGAGGTTCGAACAGTCGCGACACCGCCCCCCCCCCCCGTTCGTCGTTTTATCTCTCTACCGCCTTCAATTCAAGTTCAACAGACGCTTGGTAATTAAGAAAATGGATTATCTCGCGTGATCAACGAGCCGCCTGAAATCATCGTAATTTATTTACGCGTTACACATTTTTATAACCGCGATTTTGCTCAGCATTTAATCACGCTGTTAATACATTTGATAACCGATAGGCACAGAAGGATGCGCGCTCCATTTCGCCTCGGTCTCTTTTCGACCGGCGATTAAGAGTAATCGATGCGATTCAAATCGAGAGGAAGAAAACAGAACGGAAAGCTCGTTAAGTATCTCCTACCAGCCGAACTGCTGGCAGAATCGAGAATAATTAACAGACGCGCGCGTCGATCCAGGCTCACTTCTTTCTATAAATACCATTTCGATTGATTTATCGTCGTTATTTTTATTAAGAGACCTCGCGTATCGAAGCTACGAGCTTCTACCGATGCGCTCGGTAACTCGAATAATTTTTCCAGCGGTTGAAGAGAAGTAGCGGTTCCGATTCTTACGAGAACGCGCGCGCTCTCGAGCAAGACGGTTTTTTTTAACGATCGGCCGGCGTGGCGTTCGCCTCTCTGGACTTTTAAGCCCGCGCCACGAGGACGAAATCGGGGGCAGAGGACGATTTGTTCGATTTGCACGTCTGCCTCCAGAAATAGGAACGCGAGGCCGTTGCGTCATCAGGTTGTTGCCGTAATAGTTGGATACGTTTGCTGTACACGTTATTATCAACAGCGGTGGCCACCGTTCGAACGGCGAGGAGGGGTCGGAGTTCTCGCATTCCGCGAGAGGAGTGAACATCGGGGAGAAGATTCCAGGGCAGAAAAACGACGCCGAATTCGCCGAATCGCGGCTAACGGTCAAGGAACCCGTGACGGCCACTTCTTCTTCTGTCCTCTAGGTCCACGAAAACGTAGGACGTGAACGTAAGTCAGGGTTAAGCTCTGTGGTGGGCCTCTGTGTGAAAGCCTGCCTCCAAAAATAATCTCGGACCGGTTTAAAAATAGGCCCCCCCCTCCCCCTCCCCTCCCCTTCCCCCTCGACAACACACACGCATCTCTTATTTGTACACGTACACTCGGCCAAGCCGAATCAACGGTCAGAATGCAACCGAGATGCAACATAGTCTTATACGTATGACATATCGGAGCCCGAGAGGCCGCGTATTCATTCTACCAAACGCTCCTGCCACCGCGTGAACCGCGATGAATGGACGAGTACGCGCGGACATACGTGAGCGTTTCGAGAGCGTGTACCAAACTCGAGCCTGGGGGCGCATGCCTTGGGTAATAATAGCGTCTGACAATTTTGGATAAAAGTGTGCTTCGCCTGCAGCCCAACCACAGTCCTCGTAATGGGGTACGCTAATTTCGTAATTAATTCGGCCCCGGGGGAGGAGGGCGTGTTCAATGAAAAATGACGCACGAGCTTCCTTTTTACCACGGCGCGCGCGCGTCGATGGTTTATTTCTCTTGGAATAGAAAGCAGAACTTGCTAAACTCTTACGTACATCACGTCGTACCATGATCGACGAAAGCGTGTTTGTTGACGAATTACGTGAAATATCATTAAGTGTGAAAACATCTCGATGACTGTTTTTGAACAGGTGTAGGAGTCGAACGTGTTATTAACGAACGAATGTGCCTAAAAATACGCCCGAAAATACGTGTGGCAATATATATATACAAGTAGATATGCACTTGAATGCAGTCGAACCGAGAGGGAGAATACACGCCAAGGTGTACGAGGTACGCATTCCAATGGGCGGGTTATCAGAGACGGATCCATCCCACCTTCCATGCTGGAATGCATTTCTGCTCTTTTTTCTTTCTCTCACTTTGAGGACTTAAGGCTCGTTCATACGTGCGGCACATGGATCGAAAAAAGCATGGACAGGGAGAGGAGGGACCGGTCAATGACACCGGTTTTAATCGGACCAAATGAAAGGGAACGCGCGCTCGATGGAAATAAGTCACCGATACTTTCGCGTCTTCGCCTCCGTTCCTATCTCGCTGTTAACGTCGTGCCGTTATGAATTTCACTGCGGTCGAATAATTCTGCTAATAGAGCAGTATATGTAAGACATACGATGAAGAAAAAAAAAGAAGAATTTTATTGGAAGAGGTTCCAATGAAATTTGAAAGAAGAGATTCGGTTAGAATTACCGATTGAGCATTAACTTTGAAATACGATTAAATAATTTGATTAATGGAGAGCAGTATATGTAAAACATACGACAAAAAAGAAGAATTTTATTAGATTCCAAAGAAATTTGAAAGAAGAGGCTCTATTAGAATTACCGATTATGCATTAACTTTGAAATACGATTAAATAATTTTATTAACGGAAAGCAGTATATGTAAAACATACGATAAAAAAGAAGAATTTTATTAGATCCCAAAGAAATTTGAAAGAAGAGACTCTATTAGAATTACCGATTATGCATTAACTTTGAAATACGATTAAATAATTTTATTAATGGAAAGCAGTATATGTAAAACATACGATGAAAAAGAAGAATTTTATTAGACTAGATTCCAAAGGAATTTACCGATTAAGTATAATAAAATACGAGCTTATATAGAGTTTAAAAGAAACTCTTTGTAGAGTCTCCGGATGGGAACTTGAGGAAGCTTGGAAACGTTCGTCGAATATCTTCGATCATCATATAATCTCGTTTTTCGCGACTACGTGGCTTTTACATAATCGTGACGCGTACGTTGATAAACTTTATCCGCCGCATTCGCAAATACTCGGCGGCCACTCTAGTTTCGTCCGAATGCGGTTCGCGGCCACCGGGGGAAATGAAGGGAAGTTAACGGCAGCCTCCGTTGTCCTAAGGTGGAGCAGAGGAAACAGAGAGTGACGTCAGGCCGAAATTATTGGTCTACGTTCGATCTGGCCTTATCTTTTCAAACAAACTGTACACGATGCTATTCGCGCGCGAGATGTAACAATATACGTATGTATACGTACGACCGAGCCGAGTCTCGCGTGTACCCAAGTCGTAAACCTCCTTCTACGGAAGGCTGAATATCGATGACGTCTATATGCCTCCGGAGTCCGACGGTTCCACGATTTTTCGCAATTGAAAACGATCGGCCGTGTCAAAACACGTTAATACATCTACCAGGCGAATGTTCGCTTTTCCTTCGTTCCTTTCTTTAAGGAAAATCGCTCCAATTGCGACGAAACACAGCGTTGCATATATGTACGCGAGCACGCGTTTCAACGTGAGAGGTCAACGAATGTGTGAAAGTGAATTTGACTGTCTCGGAGGCGTGCACGATTAGACTCGATGACACATTCGAACCGGAAGTGCGTCGACGCCAGTCAGTCACAAAGAGTCCTTGTCGGGCTCTGCTGCTGCTCGAGAGAGAGAGAGAGTCGTCAGCGCGGGGGAGTCCGGTGACTGAAGGATCGAACTGGCAAGATGCGCCAGTCACTCTTGTCGATGACGCGCTCAGAATGAGCTCACCTCGCTTCTTCGTCAGCTGATAAAGAAAGCGAGCATAACATCGCCGATTAGAATTGTCGCGGCGTTTACGCGTTTTCCGTTCGACATTCGTCTCTAGTGACACACCGGTGGTAATACAACACCGGGCTGTCTTAGCAAACACACAAATGCGGAAATAAACTTTCTCAACCGGGCCAACTGTTTTCTTTTCTTTCTGTTTTTTTTTTTTTTTTTTTTTTTTTTTAATGGAGTAACATTTTTCTCGGAGGAGGTTCTAATTTTACGAGGGCGACGAAAAAGTTGGTCGCGCGAAAACGTCGGGTTTTAACAATGTCGTAATCGTGACGCGATCACGATGACGGTGGGTGTCGTATTACCCACGAATTCACGAGGTGCTACTCTAGCAGAGGCAAACATACGGGAGAAGACTGATTTCTGGTCAGACTTTTGGCAAATTTCCCGCGGCTGCCTCCCACTGTGTCTCTCTTCATTCCCGAAATCGAATCGGCATTTACGATGGCGCTTCTAAATCTTCGACTTCGTCATCGAGATACAATTTCACTCTGCCTTGTCTGGCCTTTCCTCGTTTGCCTCGCTGACGACGCGAAAAAAAATCCACGCATAGCACGGACACGCTTCGGAGAGCTTTTGTTTCTCCTGCGTATCGTTTCTAAAAAAAAAAAAAAAACACAAGAAAAAGAAAAAGAAAAACAGATCGGTTGATCGTTTTGGAAAATATTCCAATTACGCGCTGAAATCCAGAATTGTGGACTAATCAACGACCGTGTGTGCCAGCGACGATTGGTACGTGTATAATTTCACGAAGCGCGGAAAGAAACGCGCCAGTGAAAACGAGACGCGATGGAATTCGATGTGGAGCAGAAGGGGAGGGGCTCGCGCGACTCGCGGAGGCAATAATCGCGTGAAATAAAAGAACGGCGTGGCATCGTGGCAAACGGTGAACAAAAAAAAAAAAAAAAGGAAAAAGAGAGAAGAAAAAGATCGAGGAGTTTGGGAGGACGCAGTAAGAAATAAAAGCGATATTTTTATATCCACGGGTGTAAGCTCGTCTGTGGCGTCCGCCACCGGGCCTCGGCCTCTATTAATATCCACGGGCCGGGCTTCCTTTCGGTCTCCGCAGCAATTCTCTTTGCACCGGCGGACCAACGATCGA